GTAGAAAAGTACCTGATAGAACATGAAGGATGTTATATTATAAATCTTAATTATTATAATTGGCCTGTCATGGTAATGATAAAGTGACCTCAGAACTCATATACCTTTCAGAGTATTATTAAGTGTATTTTGTATCTCCATCATTTTTTTTTAGAGGAGGACAACACATTTCATTTTATTTCAATCAAATCACAACACTTTCTTTTTTTTTTGCAACTGCTGCAGAAAAATATGGAATGCCTCACAAATTTGCATGTCATCCTTGCTCAGGGGGCTCACTCATGCTAATCTTCTCTGTATCGTTCCAGTTTTAGTACATGAGCTGCTAGAGTGAACACTCAATTATTTTTCTTTACTAATGTTTTGAAATAATTTTTAAAAAAATTTATTGATTTTTTTGAGAGAGAGAAAGGGAGAGTGGAACAACAGTTTTTTGTTCTACCTGTTGATGCATTCATTGGTTGGTTCTTGTATGTGCCCTGAGCAAGGATTGAACCTGCTGCAACCACTCTGACCAATTGAGCTGCCAGCCAGGGCCTCTTTATTAATCTTTGTAGCTCTGTAATTTTTGAGAAGGAATCCACCCTCTAACCGTACCCAAATTTTAAACTATGGCGGTTTATCAGAGATTTAGAAGTAAAAAATAATATATTTTCATTAGTTTCAAGTTACTCCACTCATTCTTTTCTATTCCCTGCAGTTTGTCAGATCCGGTCCTACATATTGTGAGGGTGATATTAACTTAGACACTATTAAAATGGCATCATAGCTTTATATTTATCTCAGTGGCAAATATTATTTACTAACTCATATATTCTCCTATTACATGATACTGCCTTGGTTTAGTAGGTAATATCAGGTGATAAAAGTTGGACTGATACACACTCAAGATGAGAATACCTGGGCATTATATTCGATGAGATAATTGCTTTCCGTTTTCAGAAGCAAATCCATGTTCGTCCCAGGCTTTGTTTATCAAAATACATGAAATGATTTTTTCCTGAGATATGCAGCAAGTCAAGGACTTTTGTTCAGTGGAGTCCTAAAATAAGTATCTTTTTTTTTTTAAGATTTTATTTATTTTTAGAGAGGGAAGGGAGGGAGAAAGAGAGAGAGAGAGAAACATCAATGTGCGGTTGCTGGGGGGCGTGGCCTGCAATTTAGGCGTGTGCCCTGACTGGGAATCGAACCTGCAACACTTTGGTTTGCAGCCCGCGCTCAATCCACTGAGCTACGCTAGCCAGGACATAAGTATCATTTTTTAAAAGTGCAGGTAATCCTTGATTGATAAATGCCTGACTTAAAGATTCTTTTCACAGAATGACTGATTTTCCATGTTGCTTCATCGGAGGACTCATTTTTCCACCTGGTATATAGCATAGTACCATTTTTCCAAAACTGTTCTTGGTGCTAGAAATTTCTTTCACTTCTTTCTTCTGTTCCCATCACTGCCTTTGCCTTGTTCCCTCATATCCAGCCCCCAGTTTTACCCACTACTGCTGCCATCATCCTGGCCATCAAAAACAGCAAAGCCAGCTTCTTTCCTGTCCATATGGGTCCAGTTACTTCTTTTTGTTGCCAGTAGCTCAGTGTTTCTCACCCGAGAGCAGTCTCAGCCACCCCTATCCCTGCTGGCTACACTTGGCAGTGTCTGCAGACATTTTTGGTGGTCACAACTGGCAGGGGGCTGGGGGAAGTGTGTCTTTGGCGTGTAATAGGGAGAGAGGCAAGGGATGCTGCTAATTATCCTACGATATTCAAGACAGCCCTCCCACCCTTCACAAATGTCAATAGTACACAGGAGGGAAAAGTTCTTTTCTCAAAAAAAAAAAAAGAACTTTTTTCTTTTTTCAAGGAGAGAAATCTCAAAAAAAAAAAAAAAACTCTTTTAAAAATGTAAACTGAAGCCTTGGCTGGCGTAGCTCAGTGGATTGAGCTCGGGCTGCAAACCAAAGCATCACAGGTTTGATTCCCAGTCAGGGCACATGCCTCGGTTGCAGGCCACGACCCTCAGCAACCACACATTGATGTTTCTCTCTTTCTCTCTTTTTCTCCCTCCCTTCCCTCTCTAAAAAATAAATAAAATCTTAAAAGCAAACAAACAAAAAACGTAAACTGTTAGTTAGGTCCGCCAGCTGGATGAAATCAGACCCCAGAGGGAGAACCTACCAATGGTTGTACGTAGGGTCAGATGTTTTGTGGTGCCCCAAAGATGATGAACAAACATTAATAATGACAATAGCATCTCAAGTTTATTAAACACACACTTTGTTCCAGGCACTGTATTCAATGCTTTAATGGATTCTCCCTCTTAACTCTTTGTAACAACCTCATAAGGAAGTTGGGTTGTCCTTGGTTTTACACATGAGGAAACAAAGGGCCTTAGAGAAAGTAGTTTGCACAGAGTCACAGCAGCCAGCAAGGGTAGGCACCAGGAGGGGATAGGGACAGTTAGTTGGAAGCCAGATCTAGCTCTCTGAACCAGCGGGCTCTACTGTCCCCCTGCTTTGATCAGTGGTCCTGGGGCCATGGCTGCCTCCATGGTGGCCACCCTTCCTGGAGGCTCCCCGCTGAGACAGGAGCCTGAGCTCATGCCAGGGGAGGACTCCGATAAGGTTTTCTCTTCACACTATAGAGTGGGAACTTCACCTCTAGCCCTTACTCTGCAGAATGTTTTCTGACCTCAGCGTTTGCACGCGTAGCTACATCTGAGCTGCGGAAATCGTGTGCACTGCACAGCCAGCATCTCCCGATACTACTTCCCATGGAAATGTGTTGGACCACGGGCCATGTTTTTTCTTTTTAATTTTTCCTCCAAGGAAACCTGTTAACCTCTAAGAGAAGACTTTAAACTTTGAGAGTTTGGACAATGCTGTTTTAGACATAAAATTTTGGTTGGTTGGTTGGTTGGTTTATAGATCTAGTCTAAACATGATACAGCAAATCTTGAGAACTGTAGAGCCTGGGCTGACCTTAGTCAAAACTCTGTTTTGTGTCAAAATTTCTACCGTTCCCTAACTTTTTATTGAAGAAACACACAGAAAATTACATAAAGCGTACAGCTCAATGGGCTGTCACATCTACTCAGCACCCCAGAAGCCCCGTTTCCTCCCGTATTAATTTCGTGGGGCTGTCATACAGATGCACACACACACCAGAGCACCAGAAGCTGGGTGCTCTGGGTACTTGCAGTTCTGGAGGCTAGACACCTGAACTCAAGGTGGTGTAGGCGGGCCATGCTCCCTCTGAAGTTCACACTCACATCCCGCAGTACCTCTTCCTAGCTCCTGGGGGTTTGCCGGCACTCTTTGGTGTTCTTGGCCTGAGGCTTTGTTGTCATAGGACACTTTCCCTGTGTGTCTCTGTCTTCACATGTTTTAGGAAGCCGATTAGATTAGATTAGATTAAATTAGATTAGATGCCCACATCCTAACTGCCTCATCCTAACTAATTACATCTGTAGTGACCTTATTCCCAAATAAGTTCATATTCCGAGGTACTGGAGGTTAGGGTTTCAACGTATTTGTGTGTGGGGTGGGGGGATAGTTTGACCTGAGTCCCCTCATGTTCCACCTCAGTCTGTATACCTTTCCCCTCCACAAAGGTAACAGAGGACAGAGGGTGTTTTTAAGCAGGATTACCATCCCACCAAATCAGTGTCAATGAGCAAGGGAGTTAAGATGTAGACATTCAGTAACATCCCTATGTCTTGCGGGGCACACTTGGAACTTTGGCTTTTTGTCCTTTTTTTCTAAATACTGATGTTGACCTTTTACTTACTGTACCTGCACCAACAGGCACAATATTAACATGCAGATCCACTCCAGTTTTACACCAAGAAGTTTCTCCTAAAACTTTCAGTCAATCTATTTGTGTTTTAGTGCTGTTACCCCTTCTATATTACTTTATGCTGTTTACTTTCAAGTAGAAAGCCTTCAAGATATTTTTTAAAAATCAGTATTGCTGAAAACACATGTTTTTATATTATGGTTCTAGGTTCTTGGTATTGAAGACCTCCTAGTCTGTTTTTCCTTCTGCCGTGACTAAATAGTGTGTTTTTAAAGTACCTCTCCCATTAAATGGACTGCTATGTTGTTGTATCTTCCTTTCGTACCTATCTAAGAAACTGCAAGAGGATTTATGCAGGTTACCACAGTCGCAGATTTTAAAAGAGCATAAACTCAAAAAAATAAGTATAAATTTTAAAACAGCATTCTGAAAAAAACTGAAGAATTTTATAAACAAGAACTTTTTTTTCTAAATCATATCATTAAACTTTCATGGTTGTATATTTTTTTCTAAATGATTCCCACACACACAGTCCAGCTGGTATGAATAAAGACAAAATACAAACAAACAAGCAAACAACCTGAGAAACTAATAGCATAAATCTTTGCAGTTCTAGATGGTTTTGGCCACTGACTAAACGGAGGCTCAGAAGAGTTCTGTGACTTGCCCATGGTTACTCAGAGAGGCAGACCAACCAGCTATTGAATAAAAATCCCAGCAGAAGACTTGTATTTTTAGGTGGTGATGTTTTAATTCTGATCTAAGGGGGAAATGCTGCTTGTCCTCAGGTCAAATTGACTATAAAAATGGTCTGTTTTGACCTGAGAAGATAGGAATTCCAAAGTCAAACCAAAGAGTGGGGTGGGGTTCAAAATCCTTTGAGCACCATGTAATTGCTACCTGACTTCAAGCAATTCACTGGAAGACACAGTATGTAGGTAGCTATAAAAGCAACTTCAAGGCAAAATTTTATTTATACTGCAGATATACTTCACCAGCCTCCTCACCTCCCATAAAACATTTTAAATATCAAAGGCAGTTGTTAAATGTTTTTTAATTTGTGTTTTGTAAAGAGGATAGACCAGTAATTAATGTGTCAAACTTGCTGCTCGGCGCCATATAGAGTCCCAGAAATGACCTGGTGTGATGAATGATTCTTCTTCAAAAGGATTAATGAATGTATAATAAGTTTTCTTTCTTTCTTTTTCTAGCCAAGGACCCTTGTCATCCATTAGAGCGGTAATCAAGAGATGTAAGTTTGTTTTTTCCTGCTCTACATTTTCCTCTGTAGTAATTTTAAGTGATGGTGTAGATTTCTAGTAAGTAAGTCATTGTATTTCATGAATCTTACAAAGAATCCAACAAGATGAGCTTCTCCTAAGGAGCAATAAGCCATTTCAGATATGCTGCCCACTTTTCAACTTTCATTTATTGATAAGCCAGTTCTTCAGAACAAAATTTTTATCTTCTGGAACTAAGCTGTTAAAATAAACCTGGATTATCTAGTCAGTTTCTATGATCTAATGTAAGTTTTATGGAACCATTTTTATAGGTAGAGACATCTGATGGGTTTGAAAAACATCAAACAAGCTCTGTCCTCTTTGATTCATTTGCTTCCACAGTATTTTTATTTAACTGTGAAAATGCCAATGGAGTTTGGCTCACACATCCACGTACAAGAGAGAAGTGCCTGATAGAATTCTCCCCAGAATTGTAGGTTCATACTTACCAACTTTACCTCTTGGTTAAAGCTTTAAAACATACTCTTGGTGTGTAGGATTTTAACATCCTTTTTAATAAAAGGCTCTTAAAAGATTCATTTTCTAAATGGAACATGAATTAAGCTGTTATAAAAAAGATAAGGCAAGGATTTTAGTATTCTTCACATTATTTGAGCTGAGATCACCACCCTAAGGAGGATGTGTACTATTTTTAGAAATATAATTTGTAATAGTTAGTGTGGATTTAGGATATCCACAGGTTTTGAGGAACATGCCTTTGAACTTATTTCAGTGAACAGTTTTTAAGGTGGCAACACAGAAAAATATTCCACGGTTCTCCATGTTTCCCCACATTTAATTTTTGTTGTTGTTGGGAGTGGCGAATTTTAAAAATGTGGGAATGCCACAGTTTATGTTGAAGAGTTCAGATATGAAAACAAAAAATTCACGACAATTTTACATGCCTTAGAGCCCTTGGGGTAAGAGTGGGAAGAGAGAGAAGGGGTAATTTAAATAGGAAATTAAGGTCTGGAATTTAGGCAAGAATTGCTTCCTGAAGATACAACTTGGGGGTAATCAAGGTTATGGACAAAATCCTGGGAACAGCTAACCACGTAGGGAGAAAGCGCGGGGGATAAGAAGATGACAAAGGCCAGAATCTTCAGAAACAGTGGTGTCTGGGACCAAGGTACGCCTTGAAGGTGCTGTAGGGCGAAAGACGCGTGATCCCAAAACCCAGCCCAGCTGAGGAGAGTCCTCCCCCTTCACTGAGTCCCGTCCGCTGGCCCCTGCCTGTGTTCTCTGGCTTCTTACCTTTCCTCTCTCTTGGGCTTCAGGACTCCCTTGATGGGGATTGTAATCTGTGTGTAACTTCCCATAGATCCTCGGGGTGGATCTTGCTTATTACTCTGAGGCCCCAGGTCACGCAAATATTAAGGAGAAGGCAACTAAGGAGGAATGGGCAGGAGAGGCTGGAAAAGAATGATCCGCGTTAATAGAAAAACTAGGAGACTGCTGTGTGTTAGAGGTCAAGGGAAGCGAGGTTTTGGAAAAGAATGAGTGAAGCACAAGCAGCTCTTAGTGCTACAGGAAGGTCAGGCACCAGGCAGCTGAGAGCAGGTCATTGTATGTGGCACTTAGGAGGTCAGCGCTGACCTTTGCGAGAGCAGTTTAAATAGAACATTGAGGTTGGAAGGCACACTTCAATTTGAACAGTGAATGGAATATGTAGAAGCCAGGACAGCTGGGGCAGGCTCCTCTTCTATGAAGTTTGGTGGTAAACAGGAGAAGAAAAGATTGTAGCTGGAGGGTGCGGCAGAGAGGAGGTGTGAGCACGTTCACAGACCCTTTAGGAAGAGGAAGCTTGGAGGTCCCTGTAGGTAGCAGGGAAGGAATCAGTGGAGAGGTCGGACTAGAGCCAGAAGGAAGAGGAAACTGGTGAAGCAACCGCAGCAGAGAGGGAGGCGGTGGAACAATGGGAAAGCCCTTGCTTCGATGTTTAGGGGAGACGGCCGAGCACGTGATGCTGTGTGACTGGTGTGGAGAATCACTGTGGCATCCCTGCTCGTTTGCCCTTTTGCCCGTTCTGTTAATGTAAGAAAAAGTTGTAAACCGCTCTTGTCTTACCCAACCCACTATCCCCGAGATGTTTGCTTTACTATCCCAGGCGTAATCATCTAACCCTGACACAGAGAAAGGCCTTAGCACATTTTAAGGCAGTGTTCCTTAACTGTATTGTATTTTAAATTCTTTCATAATGAGTATGGTTTCAGTCAAGCCTTGAGGTCTTTTTTCATTTATTCTTGTGAGCCCTAAATATTTTGGGTAAAGTTCTTAAAGTGTTCTGACTGGCTATGTCTGGAATTTCATGCTCTTCGTTAACTTTTTAAAAGAAAATTATTCTCTGAAATTCAGAAATAGCTAATATGAATCGTCTACTTAAGTCAGGCACTGTTCATGTACATTATGAAATAATGGTCTAGGTGGTAGGTTAACCTCATTTTGCAGATAGATGGCCAGGACACTGAGTGTCAGAGAGGTTAAGCGGCTTCGTAAGGTAGAGCTGAGCTGTGAACCTGGACTCCCAGACCCCGAGGCCAGGAGCTTCCCATGGCATGGACGTTCTTGCTATCATGTCACGTGCATCTCGCTCACACCTTGTCTCAATCTAATGTGGTTAGTTATTTTTTTATTATTGTGGTTTTCGTTGGTAAGGATTATAGCAAGGATGCTTACTGTAAATATAATAATCCTTCTGTATGTTTATTTCTTCTGACCATCATTTAATTGATACTTTTGAATTATTTAGAACGAGGTCAGGCACCCAGCTCCCCTGGCTCTGCAGGGAGTTACAGTGCTTCAAGGAGCAAACTGCCCCCAGCCCTCCCAGTCACAGGTTGTGTGCCCTGGGATGACTCATTTACCCACCCTGTGTCTCCGGCCCCCCACCCGTATGGTTGGGACAGGGTGATCACTGAGGGACCTGCCCTGCTCACGATCTTCTTGGAGCATAGGAAGGGTTGTTATTAGTACTAATACTGCAAGTCCAGATCGCAATCTTTTATAAACAGCTGGATAGGAGTTTATTTTGTACTTAGAATTTAACCCTATGAGTTAGAGTAGTTTCAGCATAATATACCACAGAATGATATAACTTCAACTGAAAACACTGCCTTTATTGTGTGGCCTGAATCCAAAACGCATGCAAGACCAGCAGCCTTTGGCAAGGGCTGAAAGGAGCATGTTGGTCTGCACGGGCCTTGGTGGCAAATTCAGTTTTCCTGGCAACAACTACATCGAGTCTGTTCAATCTGGGAAAGTGAGAATGGAGTAAGCGGGTAGTTAAGAAATTAGCAAGAAGAGTGTAAGATAATACATGAAAATCTGCCACGAACATCTGAAGTGTTTCCAGATGCTAAACCTGTTCGACACGGACAAAAAGTGCCAGTGATTCCATAAGGATCCGGACAGAAAAGAGATGATGAGTGGATGAGTGAAAAGAATCATACGTGAGTGAATGTGAAAAGAATCATCGGAGCAGGGGAGGAGGAAAGCGCTGTGTTTGGAAGGATGGAAGGGTGTGGAGGTCTGTGAGTGTGATCGGGAGGCTTCCTTGCTCTTTATTCGGCTGCGTCCGGAATGGGGATGCTGCTCCGCTAACCAGGGGGCACCTGTCACCAGTATCCTCCGGTGGGAAAGGGCAGAATCAAGAGAAAAGCCGCTAATTTAGAAGGAGGTAAACTGACTACTGAATTTCCTTTTTAAGCATTACATATACTTTAATATAGATTCCTATTGAAGTAGCAAATTGGTTTTTTTTTTTACAAAATGTTTTTCTGATATTTTTTGCACTGTTGTTAAAAACTATAGGTAGATTTTTCCTGTGGTTACACGTGTGTGTATCTGGTCTGCACAGACACGTCTTCGCCACTGCTCACTTCTTTACTCCCTGAAACAGTGGCTCGCCAACTTTCCCTCTCCACGAAAGTATGCAGAGTGGCACGGCAAGACAGTCTTGCTCTCCACTTCCTTTAGACCATAGGCAACTGGGTTCACTCTTTTTTTCTCCCTTTCCTCTTCTGTAACCCCTTCTTTTTTTCCCTTAGCACTCATGAATAGTGCACAGCAAAAATGCCCCGTGGAAGAGGTATGTTTGTGACAGTAAATAACACGATGTCTCGTACAAGCACTGTGTCTGCTGATTCTGGCTTCAGTGATGCTGGTGATGTGATTGCAGCACACTCAGTGCGCCTCTGACGTAATGAAACCGTTCTTTCTAATCAGATGCACCCCTCGGAGCTTTAGTTTCCCTGTCCTCTTATTCCAGTAGACAAAATGCACTTCAGCTTGGCTTAACTCTCAATAGAAAAGTAAGTCAACCAGTTGACGATAGTAATACAGGACATTCTCCAACTTGGGATCTAAGGGTTTAGGTTGCAAATGTTGGGTCTGCTTGGCCAACCCAGAATAGATTGAACCCAAAATTTCATTCCCACCTCCCACCTCCCACCTCTACCCCTGCCTCCCCAGCTTTGTCAACCTCCTTGTTCAGAGAGAATCAGAAGTTAATAGGAGGAAGAAAAAAAAAGGTTCATACCATCAACCTTTATAAATCAGAAGTATTGAAAAATTAGAGTATTAGAGAGATATAAGGACAACCATTAGAAATAGTTAGTATCTGAAACAAATTCCTGTTTGTACAACAAATCATTTCAGTATAGCATTTGAAGATTTTTCATTTTTTAAATGGTTGTATTTATTTTTAGAGAGAGAGGTAGGGAGGGAGAAAGAGAGGAAGCGAAGCATCGAAGCGTGAGAGACACATCGATCAGCTGCCTCTCACTCACTCCCAGCTGGGGACCTGGCCCGCAACCCAGGCACGTGCCCTGTCCAGGAATCAAACCCATGACCTTTTGGTTTGCAAGCGGGCACTCAACCCACTGAGTCATACCAGCCAGGGCTGAAAATTTTTTTAAAAAGATATCATTAGAATGTGCTCCTTGAAAATAGGGATATTATTCTCTGTTGCACATATGTGTAATATGTGACCCTATATGTGAATATTTTCCAGATCATCTGATTAAGATAATTGTAAAATAAAATTTGGAAAAAATTTAAATGATCTAGCTTTTTGAGTTAGAGGCTTGAGGGAAAACTCAGTGCTGCATATGTAATAACATATGCTATGAACATGTTTATAAAAATGATTTGAACATTTTTTTATTATTTCTTAATTCAAGTACTAAAATAACTCAAAGATTGTAAAACTCCAGAAATTGAGAAAACAGATGAAAATTTGACCACCTTCACCCTCTTTACAATAGAGTACAAACAAATACTACAAAAGTATAGTCCTGGATCAGAATAGATATTGAACAAATTTTCCCACCCACTGTTATTTCATGTCATTACAAATGCTCTTCTGTAATTTCTGTTTATGGCAGTCTTTTTTTCTCTGTTCAATCTTTAAATTATTTTCAGAACTGCAAAATGTGCTTTGGAGAACTTTTCAAATCTATGCTTTCTTATGAATTCAAATATATAATTATAATTAACCTGATACCATATGAAAGATCGTTTTGATTTGCTTTTCTACCATGGATGTTAAAATCCATTCTATATGATGTCAAGTATAAGTTAATTTTTTTCAGCAATACTCCCTGTAAAAAATTAAACCTTTATTTGAATATAATAAATTTATGCTATATCAATGTTTTCTTTCTTTTATAGCTTCTCGGACTTCTGTTCAGAGTGATCTTCATCGAGATAGGAGGTATGCTTATATTTATAAGGGGGAGCATATATTCTGCTAATAGTGAAATACAAGTATGTTATCAGTTAGCAAGTTAAATATTTCTCTTTCTTAAGAAGTGTATTATAGCATTCTGCCTCTTCAGACCATTTCTTGAACTAACCTGTGAAGTTTGAGTGATGAAGAACTTGCTTAAGAGACGAAGCAATACAAGCCTGAAGTGTTCTTTTTGACAGTAATTATTTACTGACATCAATTTGAAAATGTTTATTAAGCAGCTGCTACATATAAAGCATCATTGGAACTGCTTCAAAGAAATGCTGTGTACCTCATAGCTACTCAGTAAATGTTGCATAGATGAATGGTTGGATGACAGGATAGGGAATTAGATGGAAGAATAAAGAAATGAAAAGAGGCAGGCAGGCAGGATGGATGGATGGATAGATAGATAGACAGATAGATAGATAGATAGATGAATAAGTGGCTAGGTGGCTGGCCAGAGAAAGGGGAGAAGTAGGGGAAGGAGGACTGAGTCACAGGATACATAGAAGGAAGGACAGATAGGTAGAGGGCTGAACAGATGGAAAGGTGAATAGGTGGATAAATAGATGGATGGATTTTTATAAGATATCCTCCCTGCTTTCAAATTTCTCACAGTATGCTATCAGGGAAGGAAGAACAAGGACTTTAGAGTGAGACATCACCCAAGTTCAAATCCTGACTTGACTTTCTCACCATGTGACCTTGGGCAAGCTACTTAACTCTTCTCAGTTGTGCTATCCCCATCATTAGTTACAAAGTAGACCAACCTCATGAGGTGGTCATAAGGATTAATGCAGGTAGAGTGGTTAACTTTTATTATTTAGTAACTCATTATTTAGACAAAAGCTGTAAGCAGAGGTTCTTAGGTAACACCATTCAAACTTAATCAGTGAGCAGGTTCTACTGTTTCACAAGCTAGCATGAGAGTGTGTCTACGCACAGATTTGATAATGACAGTGCTTTTTGTTTTTATTTTCCATGGAGTGCTAGAGAAAGGAAGGGCGGGTATCATCCTCCCTATTTGTTAGAACAGAAAATTGAGGCTCGGAGAGGTTTATTGATTTGCTCAGAGTCACACAGTTGGTGTTTGTTAGGAAATCAGGTTGAAGAAGAAAAGATTTAAACATGAAACTGTAGATTGAGGATAAGAAAATGAAGGAAGTTGTGCCTAAATCACTGTGGCTCCTCAGCATTAACAAGGAGCCATCAAATTCGTGCACACAATGGCCCAGCAGCACAGACACACATGTCAGGGTTCAGAAGTGAATATGTGAGCTCTGAACACTTAGGGTAACTTGGAATTGGGACAGAGGTGGAATGAGAAGGAAAAGCATATTCTACTTACATGTTATCATTTTTTAGTGTATACTTTGTAATGACAGAACATAACAATTCTGTTTGACCAGTGCACTTTTCTACTTTATATTTGTGTTGTGCTGTAGACCCTGGAATGAAGTGGTTGTAGGGGCCTTACTTAGTCCGTTTTCTTACCAACCAAGGCAGATGCGATTAGGGTACATCTCTAACTTTTTGAGGCCAAAATCACAGAGGATGATTGCCCTTTGATTCCTTCAAGGCTGCCTGGGTATACTGCTAGAGATAGCCCGGGCCAGACAGGTCATTTCTGTGACTTTGGTGGTTCATACATAGCTTTTTTGGATGGTAGTTGTTCTCATGAATCTCTGAGCATTTGCAAGTAGACAATAGCTTGTTACCAACTTGCTAAACCTCACTGTGGCTTCTGTGTGCCAGGCGCCCGGAGATCACCATTGTGGCAGCTGAGCCGCTGAGGCCGACCTCATGGTTCCCAGGAGCCCCGCCCCCAGGACTGGGATTTCCCCCGGCCTCCGCAGCTGGCCCTTGGAGGCCCAGTGAGCTGGTTCCTTCTGAGGTGAATAAATACCACGTTATCTCTTTCCATTTTATTTTAAAAATAAAGTTCAAAGATTAGAACAGTGAGACAATTATTAACATTGTTGGCTATTGCCCATAGATGTCTAAAATCTTCCTTCTTTGTTTTATAGCTCCCACCGTCTTACGAACAAGTCATAAAAGAAATCAACCAAGTTCAAGTTAATACAACAAATAATAATAATGCTGCTGCCTCTCCAAGGCACACTATTACTTCTGCAACTCAGACGGACTTTTCAGAAGAAATAGACAACCATCTGCCTCAAAGTAATGCAAGTAATTTGTCTTCCCTAATTCTGACCTAGTTCTAGGAAAGTAATCAGTAGGCTCTAGCCTTTAAAATAATTTTCAATTTGTACATAATTTACTGAGCTCCACTTCCCAGCCAGTGTGATCATGTGTGCTTGCTTTATTTGGGCGTGCTGTGATTATAATAGCTCATTCTCAGGAACCGAAGCCCCAGTCCCTTGAGCTCACCCTAGTTCATGTCACAAAAACATCATCCTTTTAACTCATGGTTGGTATTATTGCTATGCCCTTATTTTCATCGAGAAGGATGTTATATTTAGCAACTTCAACTCGATAGGATGCTAAAGGTGGTTGTCCTGTTAAGCTTTTTAAAAGCATCGTATTTGGATAACACATGAAAGCACGTTTCTTTGGAAAAGTAAAGCAAGAATTGTTGGAATTTTGACAGCAAAAGAGAAATGGTTCATGTGATAAGTCTACTGAGAATCAAAAATTTAACAGTGTTTTTATGGGGAGAGGGGTAGCAGGAGACTAAATGGTAATGGAAAAAATACAACAAAGAGTAAATCAGCGCTTGCTGGTGTGGCTCAGTGGATTGAGTGCCAGCCTGTGGGCCGAAAGGTTGCTGGTTCAATTCCCAGTCAGGTCATATACCTCGGTCGTGGGCCAGGTCCCAGGTTAGGGCTGTGAGAGAGGCAACTGGTGGATTCTCTTGTACACCAATGTTTATCTCCCTCCCCTCTCTCTCTACAAATAAATAAATTAAATATTTTTAAAAATAAATATTTTTTTAAAGATTAAGTCAAAGCATATATTAAAAAATAGCCCTGGCTGGCATAGCTCAGTGGATTGAGTACGGGCTGCGAACCAAAGCACTGCAGGTTCGATTCCCAGTCAGGGTACATGCCTGGGTTGCAGGCCATGGCCCTCAGCAACTGCACATTGATGTTTCTCTCTCTTTTTCCCTCCCTTCCCTCTCTAAAAAAAATTAAATAAATAAAATCTTTTAAAAAACATTTAAAAATAAAAAATAAAAACAATGTTTTGTAATATTACATATTGAATACTTCTTACATGAATAAGTGTAATTTGAACACTCATGCAGGAAGCTGAGTATAAACACTTTCCCATTGATTTTGGAATTACTTTTTACTAATTAAGTAAACCAAATTCGTTTGATATTCTACATGTATATCTTTAAAAATATGTGTATTTTCTCTTATTTTTTTCTTTCACATTATAATGTTGTAACTTCTTTTTGTTCATTTTGGTCTTGTCAGCACTACCGGCACCCCTTCAACCTCTTCAGCCTTCCCCAGCAGTCTCGGCCCGTGATCCTCCAACAAATGCGGCGCCTTTGATAGTCTTTGACAGTTCTGAAGAACAGAACTGTCCAGGAAACCCCAGTGCTGCAAGATGTCCAGTGCCAAGACCAAGATCAAAAAGCAACCTCAGGCCGGTAGCCAGAGAGCCTCACATTAAAGAGCAGAACCACCAGAAAACCAGCCCAGGGGCCTCAGGGGCGGCGCCATCCCCAGGCCGACTCCAGTCTCTGTTGGACGGTACCAGCGACTTGGACAGTCAGCCTGTGATGAACACTATGAACACAGAACAAAGCCAAAACAGTATTGTTTCAAGGATCAAAGCGTTTGATAGTCAGACAAACACAGACACCTCTGGACTGCCCAAGAAACCAGAGATTGCGCCCCGCACACTTCCCCCCAGGCCTGCTGTTCCCTCAGGGAAACCCTCCGTGGCTCCCAAACCAGCTGCTAACAGAACTTCTGGAGAACTGGACTCCTGGCACGAGAACAGACTCAAGGTGGCCTCTAGGGAGGGGCTCAACCCACACTCTCCACCACAAGAAGTAGGGAGCCTCCCGGTAACCAAACCTGAATTGCCAAAGAAACCAAATCCTGGCCTTACACGAAATGTCAATCATGAAATCCTGGGAGGAGGGCCCGTGGCCGAGAGCCCCGACGGCAGCGGCAGCAAGAGAGTCCCAACTCCTGCTCCGAGGCCTGTGCTGCCGAAGAAATCAGGTTCCTCAGAAAACCCCACCTACCCTGCAGCTTTGCTGAAACCAGTCCCTGTTCCTCCCCGCCTCTCGGTGGCATCGCAAGCCAAAGCCTTCAGGTCCCTGGGCGAAGGACCCTCGGCCAACGCCCCTGTTCCAGGCCTGCAGAGCAAGCCTCCAGGGGACTTCGACCTCATCAGTTTTGATGATGATGTCTTACCCACCCCACCTGGGAACGTGGTTGAAGACTCTGTTGGTTCGGAGATGGTTCTGGGTGAGTAAACGTCAGAAGTGGGTGGGTTGGGGTGAAATCAACTAACTCATCGTAGGATATCATGAATGGTACTTGTTGTGTTGGTTTGCAGTACCTAAGTTCTTGTGATGTGTCAGCGCAGATGTATGTGTAGAGGCCGGGTGCAACACGGAGGGACTGAGAAACACGGAGCTGGGTGGGGGCTGGAAGTCAACGGGGAAGCGAAAGGGAAAAATGTGGGATGGGGCGATGGAGACAGAGAAAGGGAGAGACACCCGCATGGATAACCATTATTCAGGCCAGGAATGAGCAGACAGGGATGAGGGACAAGCTGGATAAAAAGTGAGGCTGGCTCCCTTGCTCTGGTAGGCGGAGATTCGAGCATTAGAAGGAAGCAGGAAACTTCTCCTAGGTGGGAAGCCTGGATGGGATTTAGTGAAATGTGTAGCCTGGCCCCAGGGGGCTCCTCAGATTGCCCTGGGCCCCCCGGGAGGGAGGGCGTGGGTGCGTGGAGAAGTCCGAGGCAAGGACGGAGGAACCAGCCACATGTTGCAAATTTTTCCCCTAATCTTTATATAACCTCTTCCCTTGGGAATGCAAAGTTTTATAAACAAATACAACAGCTGTAAGTTTCTTGCCAAGATCAGGACAATTAAATTTTCCAAGAAGCAGAGTATGTTTTTTTTTTCCTTACACTGTTCAGCTGGAGTTTGTGATGCTGAAGCTTATCTTTGATTTAGCAAACTAAGCTTCTCTCCTTGTCATTAATAAGATTTCTTTTACTGCTTTTTACTTATTTGGGTAGAATTTTTGTACGTTTAAGCTTAATATATAGTTGTCATCTTAAAAATGTTTAACACGTGTCAAGATGGTATAATCTCTGACTTAAAACCAGATTCTGCACAGCATAGGTGTGTTTTAAATGAAAACAAGTACATATTTCTTAAATATTTATCATGCACACAACATATGGTAGCTGGCTGTACCATGCCTCTTTTCCATAAGGAGTCCAAGGACAAATGTTAGAATACACTGAGTTTCTGCAGTGTTCCAGACCCTCTGCTGGATAACCTGCTGTCCATTATTTCACTGACTACTCACAGTAACCCTCTGCTGGGTACTGTCAGGCTCAATTTGCAAATGAAGAAAATGAGGCTGAGAGAGATCCATGGGTAACTTGCCCAGTGTCGTAAAACTACAATTTTCCAAGACAGAGTTCAAACTCAGTCTTTCTTATTCTAAGTCTAGTTTATTTTTCACTGTATCATGTTGCTAACCAACATTTTCATGAAACCTTAAAGCAGGCAGCACATTAAAAACTTTTCATGTCTTGGCAATATCATTTTCTTATTTAACCCTTTTCGGTGTTACAAGATTCAGGGTAGGACGGGGGTGAGTAAATCCAGCAGCAGCAAGTTGTTTAAGAGTGGAAGCTGTAGAGGCCCAAGAAAGACCACCTCGCGTAGAACCTCCTTGGTTCTCTGGGGATGGCACTTAGTGATTGCTGAGACTATACTCTGTGTCATTAAGCAGATAATTACAGTCATCTTCCAAAAAAAAAAAAAAAGGTCAACAGTATACATTCAACATGAATACAGTGTCATGCTTCATCATCCGCCTTTTCTGTTACTTGATATCTACCGCTTCATTACACATTTAATTATTAGGGCAGCATGTTAGCAAAATGTGTAACCTGCTTGGCCTATGTGACCTCAACCATTGCTCTTGACAGTGGCATTATACTGAACTGAACGCTTTATGTTCTCGCTAAGCCTGCTTCTCTCCCTGTATTCTGCACCTCACGTGGTGACACTGTCACACGCCCAGGCTTCCCTAGAGAATCCTAGAGATCATCCTCGAGTGTTCCTGTCACACAGCGGCTAGTTGTTGGACTTGAAGGCAGACCGGCTTGGGCCTACCACTTAATTGGCATATGACCTTGGGCGATTTACCTAACCCCACAGTGCTTTGGTTTCCTGATTTATAAGACATGATAGTAATCCTTTTCATGGGGGCATTGCAAGGATTGCATGTGATTACGAAGGAAAGCCCTATCACATGGTCTGAAACATGTTCAGTGCTCATTAAGTAGTAGTTAGTGTTACTTCTTGCCCTTCACATCCAATTAGTTACCAACTCCTGCTGGTCTACCTTCTGAATAGTTCTTGAATCTTCCTCTCATTTCATCCTTCTTGCTTCAGCCCCACGTGAGGCCTTTATGCCCAGATCATGACAGTAGCCTCCTAAATTGAGTCCCTCCTTCTTCCTCAGATATATCATCCTCCATACTATGGCTACCAAGGCAATTTTTATAGAGTGGACATTGGACCTTGTTGCTCTGTTTGTTGCCGTCCAGGGCCTTCAGGATCATCTCTGAATTCGTCAACATGTAGAGGGGTTTTGCTTCTTTATTGATTTGGGCTTTATGAATTTTTGATTCTGTGTACATAAAGGGTTATAGTCTCTTTGTGAAAACTTGCTTACTCATCCTGGCAGCAGCAGCAGCCAGAAACTGGGAGAGGAGCACCAGAGAAAGGAGAGAACCTCACAAATACATCTCCCCTTCTCTTTCTCTTCCCTGGAAAATGAAGAAAATTTAATAAAAATAGTTTTCATGAAATGAAGTTGCCATATTAATCTCAGGGTGTAGAGATCAGAAAATAGCGAAGCTGTGAAAACATTGTGAAGATTAGAAAATTTATTAAAGGAGAACTCATAAAACAGGCAGTTTAATATTGGATTCATTTTATGGGTAGGGTGCCTTCCAGGTTAATGTAATGGAGTTGGGAAGTATTAGTAATCCCTCTTCACACCTTTAGAAATCATATCCAGTTGTCAAAAAAAGCAGAATACCTCTGCTGTCAGCCCCATTACACAGACCAGAATAATAGTGTAGCAGCCAATTTCTGCCGTGCACAGAACCCCAGGGAAAGAAATGACAGAAAAGCAAGCCAAGGATGGTGAAACTAATTATGATGACAAGCACATTACTGGAGACAGGTAACGGGCAGAAAGCTACATTATCATCAGTGTTTTTCTCACCCTGGTGATGGAGAGCACGTGGATGTGGGTGAACAGGGGCCTGCCAGGTGGCGGCAGGTGGAGACTAATCGGTTATGCGTGTGAGGGGCTGGAAGGAGGGCAGAATGAACACTGCGAATAAAAGTAGAGAGAAACGCCATTGATGTTCTTGAGATGTAGGTGGGAGATTTTTTTTGGAGATGCTTTGTGTGTCTTTTTGTAGAAGCAAAAGCAAACAATCTATGATGGAGACACTTATGGCACTGCGGTTCTTAACCTTTTCTGGGTCATAGCACCCTGAGAATTGGATGAGTTCGTGAATCTTTTCTCTCCCTTGAACAGAGCATTTTAGCCCATGTATACGCAATTGAAGGTATGATTTCCAGAGCTTCAAGGGCCTGTTCTTTGACCCCAGATTGAGGACTTTGACCACAGAATATTAGAAGTAACTTCCAGTGGACTGTTAAAGTAAATTATGGCACATCCATAGAATGGAGTATTGTGTGGTGATTAAAAAGAAGGCAGACCACCTGTTACCTCCTGCCACGGACCAACCTCCAAGATATTATTATGTGAAAAATGCAATGTACTGATAGAATTCATGGTATTTTTAGCTGCCATTGGTGTTAAAACACACACATACACACAAATATGCGATGTCTTTGGGAAAAGCTATAAAAAGTTGGCAACAAAGGTTGTCTTTTATGGGGAAACAGGGTAGGCAGGAGAGGAGGTGGGAACCTGGCTTTCAAATAGCTGAACATAAAGCAGAATGAAGATGAAAGACAGCGGAAGGGTTATTACCGCCGGTTGTTTTTGCCACGGAAAGACAGCTGTCTCCCACAGTGATCGTCAGCTGTATGATAAGTTGAGATTTGAAAAATAATAGTTTTCTAAAGTTGTGTTATTCATGGCTACAAATAAAAGCTAATTATTATAAACTAAATCTGTCTAAATTAGGCAAAATCAAAAATAGAAATCTACATTACTTCCTATTACATAGAATCACTGAGGAATAGTATCAAAATGAGAGTTTTTATTTTTCTAGTTACTTTGTGGAAATTTTATGGCCTTTATTGCCTTGGAAAAACAACAAAACAGACAAGAATTCTCCCTTTTTTCCTCTTTTTAAAATATTTTATTCATTTACTTTTAGAGAGAGGGGAAGAGAGATATAAAGAGAGCAAGAGAAACATCCATCGGTTGCCTCTCACACATGGGGACTTGGCCTACAGCCCAGGCATGTGCCCTGACTGGGGGTCGAACCGGCGACCTTTCTGTTCACAGGCCAGTGCTTAATCCACTGAGCCATGCCAGCCAGGGCTTTCCCTTTATTTTGAAATGGTTCTTATTTTGGTTTGTTTGACAGGAGTATTAATTTCAGCTTCCTCTTAAAACTTTTTTTCCTTATTATTGAATTGATTATTTTTGGTTACAAAGTAACACATTTGCTGTAACAACTCAAACAGTACAAACATTTAGTGAAATAAACAAATTAATCTCTGTCTAGTTGACCCAAATCCCAAGAGTAACCAGTGTGAACAATATTGTATGGAGCTTTCTGTGCCCTTGGACATTCCAAAGCAAAGCATGTATATATATTTTTTTTCCTGCTTTTTACAAAAAATTTTTAACTTACTGTACCCATTACTCACCAGCTTGTTTTTCTTCACCTAACAGTGAGATTTATGGACTTCTCTTCAGACCAATGGATGTAAGTCCAACTCTTCATTTCCTTCTACCTGCCTGAGTGCATTGTAGTTAGTTCAACATGCAGGTTGTTTTGTTTGTTTGTAATGTTTTGGATATTTTTTTGCCACTACAAAAAAATGCTGCAGTAAACATTTTAAAAAACACTTTTACTTCTACTAGTGCTTTTGTTTCTGAAGAGTAAATTTCCAAAACATGGGTCAAATATTGTGAACTTTAAACATTAAAAATTTTTTTTTCTTTTGTTTTTTAAAGATCTATTTATTCATTTTTAGAGAGAGGAAGGGTATGAGAAAGAGGGAGCAAAACATCAACATGTGGTTGCCTCTCACACGTCCCCTACTGGTGACTTGGCCCACAACTCAGGCATGTGCCCTGACTGGGAATTGAACCAGCAACCCTTTGGTTCTCAGGCCAGCCCTTTTTCCACTGAGCCTGACCAGCCAAATTTTTTATTTTTCAACTACAGTTGTCATTCAATACTATATTAGTTTCATGTGTGTAGCGTAGTGGTTAGACATTTCCATAACTTACGAGGTGACCCCCTCGTAAATCTAGTACCCACCTGGCACCATACACAGTTATTACGATATTATTGACTATATCCCCTGTGCTGTGTTTTGTATCCCCATGACTATTTTGTAACTGCCAGTTTATACTTCTTAATCCCTTTACCTTTTTCACTCCCACACCCACTTTCATCTGACAACCCCTCATTTGTTCTCTGTATCTGTGAGTCGGCGTTTCTCTTTTGTTGGTTCATTTATTTTGTTCCTTAGATTCCACATATAAGTGAAATCATATTGCATTTGTCTTTCTATATCTGACTCGTCTCACTTAACATAATACCCTTTAGGCACACCCATAATATCACAGACAGTAAGATTTTATTCTTTTTTCTTTTAAGGTTTTATTTTATTTAGTTTTAGAGGGAGGGACAGAGAAAGAGACCCAGAGTTAATGGTTTCCTTTGCTCTGCAAAACCTCTTTATTTTGATGTAGTCCCATTTGTTTATTTTTTTAAAATTTCTTTTGACAGAGGAGATATATCAGAAAATATTACTAAGAGAAATGTCAGAGTTTACTACCTATGCTTTCTTCTGGGAATTTTATAGTTTCACCTCTTCCATTTAAGTCTTTAATGCATCTTAAGTTTATTCTTGTATATAGTGTAAGAAAGTGGCCCAGTTTCATTTTTTGCATGTATTTGCCCAGTTTTTTCACCATTTATTGAAGAAACTGTCTTTACTCCATTATATATTTTTGCCTCCTTTATTATAGATTAATTCACCATATAGATGTGGGTTTATTTCTGGGCTCCCTATTCTGTTCCATTGAACTTTGTGTCTATTTTTATGCCAGTGTCATGCTGTTCTGATGACTACAGTCTTGTCATATAGTTTGATATCATGTAGTGTGATACCTCCAGGTTTTGAACTTTAAACATTTCAGTAGTGTCAATGATCCAGTTTCCCACCTGGCAGTGCCTGAAGTTCCCCAACATGAAGTACTACCTTTGCTCTGTATGTTGTCCACTTACGTTTCTTTTGGAAAAAGATACCCTCTCATGAAAAGACATAAAGGTAAACTACATACTGGGTAACTAAAGAGACACTTGCACACCGTCATCCAGTGAAGAATAGACAGACCACTGACTCTCCCTTCTTGTTGGAGTGATGCTGCTCGTGCTCCCCACTAGTCTGCACACCTGGTCTGGATTACAGCCCGGGACAGCACGCAGGCAGAGAGGCATATGCTGAGTTCACTAACTCAGTGAGCACAGCTGGGGTAGGTCATCACACAGAGCCCTGCCAAGCAGCCCGCAGTGCTGGAACACTCAGACCTTCTTGCTCCACTGTATTGAAAGAAATTTTTTTATAGATTCATGTATAGTGGGATAATTACTCATGATCTGAATGCTAATTGTTAAAGAGCAGCTAATGATATTAAAAATAAATACCAAGCCCTGGCTGGCGTAGCTCAGTGGATTGAGCGCAGGCTGCGAACCAAAGTGTTGCAAGTTCCATTCCCAGTCAGGCTACATGCCTGGGTTGCAGGCCATGACCCCCAGCAACTGCACATTGATGTTTTTCTCTCTCTCTCTCTCCCTCCCTTCCCTCTCTAAGAAATAAATAAATAAAATCTTTTTAAAAATAAATAAATACCAAAAAAAGAGTAAGAGTGAGTAGCTAGGCCTCTTTGAATACTTTATATTGAAGTTGTATCTATGCTACTTCAGTTTAAATCCTTTAGGTTTAAAAAAAATGCCTGGACCCTGTAAGGCAGCAGCTGAGACCTGCTGCACAGTGTGTGGGATTTGGGCGAGGCTCCCTGAGGCCAGTCCTCCGGAAGCAAGCACGTCTGGACGCCCCTGTGCACAGCCCTGTAAGGGCCCTGAGTGCCTTCGTTTCTCCTTTCCTGGCCTCCCTTGTTCAGTGCCCTCACTCCTGGAAGATGAGAGTGTGTCGGTGGTGTACTGGCTCAGAATTTAGTATGAGCTGGGAAATAATTGAAGTCATTCCATGCTCAGGGTTTTCTTTTCCCTCTCCCCCAAATCATCAACTAAAAACCTATACTAATAACCAGCAGATTACAGGTACCAAAAACATCCTTTAAAGCAGAAATGCCACTTGAGAGGTAGAACACAATGAACAATCAATTAATAGCCTTAATCTTTTTCTTGAACTTTTGGTCCTTTTACCAACGGAGAACAGAACCCTGAGATAATGGGATATTTCAACCAAGACTGGGGGGCGGGGGGTGCGGGAGGATGGACGAGTTCCTGAACAGTCAAATTTCTGCAGCAGCCAGAGGGGAAGGTGGCTCCTTGGAGGTCATTGGGTGCCAACAAAGGCCCTGAAGGCCGAGCAGAGGCCATGGCAGGAGAGAGAAAAGAGCAGAAAGGAAAGATACACACAGAGGAAAGATACTATATTCTGTATTTGAATGGAATGTACATCAAGGGTTTTCCAATTCATTTGTTTTAGCTAGGGTTATTCAGAATAAATGAACTAGCTGGGGAGTTCAGATTTGGGTCATGTTCTCAATAGTGGGCACACCCCAAGGGGTAGTGTACCTACCCCTTGTTATCCATTGGTACTGCTGTTTCCTAAAGACCAGAGGTAGATTACTCAAGTGGGAAGAACTACTAGAATGTGTAAAATCCAGTTGCTGGAAAGGCACCCTCCCAACCTGGCCTTCCTGTTTCATGCCCCACCCTGCTTCCCTTTGCCCCACCCTGAAGTGGCTGACTGCGCTCTCCTTTTCCCTTTGTCAGTAGTACCTCTCACCTTCTGACGCACCACGTGAATTACCTGTGACACTTAACATTCATTGTCTCCATCTTCTTGCTGCTGCAGTGTGAGTGCCATGAGGGCAGAGTTCTTTGTTTTGTTTGCTCAAGTATTCCCAGCACCTCGAGTAGTGTTTGATGTGAGGCAGGCACCTGGCTGATATTCAATAACGGAAGTGGAAAAGCAAATCACAAACAAATGGATATAAAATGGTCCTGGTTTTGTTTGGCAAAATACCTACATAATAATACATGTACTTGAGAAAAAAACTGTAGACAGATACACCATGTTTCAGATAATAATTACCACTGGTGGGGTGGGGTCACCGAAGAGCTTCTGTCATGTTTCATAATGTTTCCCATCTTTGCAGTAAATGTTACTTTGAAGTAAAGCATAACACTGTAACAAAATAAGGATTAAAGAATTTGTTTAGACCTAAAAGAAGGAGCTTTGTTTGTTTGTGAGGACATAGGTTACAGTGAAAGAACATCATACTATTACAAGAGCCTTTTTTAAAAGTTTGATGCTGTTTTGATAATCTTGAGTTGGTTTTTGAACTTAGACGAGACTTGCCTCATTTGTGAGCTGATAGACAGTGTTCCACAGAGGGGTCATTCAGGTTTTTTTTCTCAGTAACCTAATGATAATCTTACCTAGCCTGCCACCTGGGGGCCCTTCTTAGGTGGTAGGTAATAAACTTAAAATAGGAGTGTGCTTAGCTGTCATATCTCCCCACCCAGCACTGTTGCTGGCACCTGGTAGACATGCATACGTAGGCAAATGGCTAGTGAGTGACACCTTTGGAGGGTAATGGACAAATGCCAAGTCATGTATTTTTGCCCCCAAATTAAATATTTAAAAGGAGATATTTTATTTCCAGGATCAAACTGTTTTCATTTTCAGGTTACAGAAGTGTAGTTTTACTAAAGTATTAAATGCAGGATTCTGCTGAGCACCCACCGCGTGCCAGGCACGGTGCTGGGCAGCGTGGTGGCCTTGGTGAGCCCTGTGGGTCAGTTTCCACAGACACAGGGTGGGGAGCGGAGGCCAGCGCTCTTCCTGGGGAATCTGGGTGGCTTCACGATAGGGGGAGAATGGGCTCCTCGGTTCAATTGGCCCTCATTTTCAGGTGGACATTTATGAAATGATTGCACTCCCATAAAAGACAGCTTCTACATAATTCAAGATTGTTCTGGATCTCTCTCATCACGGAGGAAGAAAAGCTGTATGAATTATTTACAGAGCATCAAGTTATGCCCTTTCATGAGCTCCGACTTTGTTTTTGTCTCTGCAAACTGAGATTTTGTTTATCCATGAATAGTTTTCCCTGGGGCATGAAAAATATGACTCTTTAATTATGAATGAGGTTTTTTGTTTGAGCCCATGTTAACTAAAACATGCAAACTAAACTGTGTTTTTCATTAGATCCCTTTCAGCTCCCCACAAAAACAGAACCAACAAAAGAACGAACAGTTCAACCAGCACCCGCCAGGAAGCCCACTGTGATTCGAATTCCAGCCAAACCAGGAAAATGTAAGCACTTCTCCACCTTCTTTATTTGCTTCTCCGAGAGCCTGGGAGAAATATGTGCTATTTTATTAATGTCTGCTTTTGAAATGATGCGTAATCAGCCATTTATTATTATTCATAGTCAAGGACACTTAAAAGCCAGTTGGGGTCTTTTAAATAATTCTTTAGACAATTAGTACAGTGAATTTGGATTTCATTTCTCTTTAACATTGTCTGTAGGAGAGAATTGAAGGAGACAAACTCAGAATCACTATAATATCTTACTGTCTCTTGTAAAGATATGGTAGGAGAGTAGTTAAACTGATAGCAAATAACATTATATATGTCTATCATATTACTCTAATATATATAAGAAGTATGTTATTCCAATCAGCATAACCTACCCTCTCTTCTGTACTTTTCTAAATTGTACTGAGTCCTGAAATCCTGACAAGGGTATACTGGGGAAGCAGCTTTATTTATTATTCTGACAAAGCTCCAGGAGCTATTAGAAAGTTGAATCCTGTACTGCTTTATGTGAGGGCGCTGAAGCACCAGTCTCTAGGAGTTATTTCTATTTATGTCAAAAACCCAGATTCTTAGAATTTTATTATTACAATTATCAAGCGATGCATATATTCTCTGGAGGAAAAAAAGTAAGACTTTTGGTGCCTGAAGAACTTGGAATGGACAAGTGCAGAAGGGAACAGCTTTGTGGTGCAACATTCCTGGCAGCTCCCCTGGGCCCCTGTAACTTCTGACCGGGATGTCCTTTTCCCAGACAGCTGCACGGCTCCCTCCATCACCACTCCTGCAGGTCTTTGCTCAGATGCAACTTCTGCCATCGGGACCTGCTGACCACGTTATTTGAAATTGAAAATCTCCAACTCCCCACACACCTACATGCACACAATTCCCATGTCCCTTCCTGTCAGTCAGCCATCTCCTTGCTGTTTTCATATTGCTGCAACTTTGTACCCTGAACTGTCTGTCACAACCATAGTGTATCCTAAATGATTCATTGCTTCCTCGCTAAGAGTAAGGAAACCGCAGCACAGAGCAAGGCTTCCAGATGGTGGCTGAGTTGGAATGTTCCCCTGTGTCTTACTTCCCAGAGCAGCGCTGCCTCTCACCAGGAACACTTGTCTCTCTCTCAGTCGTTGTTTTCCTTAGTAGTTGGCATGGGTGTTTTCCTGCTTTTGAGTGTTTTTCTGTCTGTGGATAAAACAGGAACCTGTTTGATCATCCTCTTGTTACCAGGGTTTTTAATGTGAAATGGAGGCAGAGATTGTTCTTTTGAAAGAGGGGAAAATCCTCTCCTCTCCTGTAACTGACGAAGCCTCTGTGTAAAAGCTGGTTTTAGCTTCCTTTAGTGGGTTACAACCATCTTCTCTCCAAGCGTTTTCCCAGACAGATTTTAATTAGCTGTCACTAATTAAATCTGGTCACTTTTGTTTTCTTCTTTATAAAATAAGTTGGGGTGTACAATTGCTGAGTTAAGGATGTAGTTCTGATTTAAAGATATTGTTCATTAAATTGAGGAGGTAATTAAGTCCTTTAATCTGGAGCTAATGAATCACAAAACACATTTAACTATTTGGATGGGGGAGGTTTGGGTACCCCACCTACTAAGAAGCAGCATGCCTATTATACACAATGAGCACAGCCTTTTAAATTCAAAACCTGGTTCTGACAATTACTAGCATGCAGACCTCAGATGGCTCATGTATTTTCTTCTAAGTTTCAGTTTCTTCATCTGTAAAATGGGTAAGGATATTATCTAGTGTAGTGCTGTCCAATAGGACTTTCTTCAAAGATGGACATATTCCATATCTGTGCTGTACAATATGGTAGCCACTAGCCACATATGGCTGCTGACCACTTCAAATGTGGCTAGTGCAACTGAGGAACTGAAATTTTAACTTTGATTTTAAATTATTAAGACTTAAGTTTAAATATGACTACTAGCTAGTGGACTGTGCAGATCTAGCACATGGGTAGATGTTGGCTGGAATGTATGTGAATAAAGCGCCTTAATTTAACGCCTGGCACATAGAAGGTTCTCAAACATGCTGCTGCCGTTGTAATTATTCAGCATTATTTTTACTCTCTATAAAACATTTTGTATATCAGTATAAAATTGTACATCAGTATAAAACTGATGTCTACTAACCCGTCAGTTTTCTGAAGTTTGCTGGGAGCGCTTGCTCATTTGCTTAGCCATCCATCCATTCTTTGTGTGGATCTTTCATGGAAGCCCTTTTCCTAAGGAACCAAACTGCAGTTATTTCATCCTTTGGACCCCCCAAAGAGCAGAAGTTATTGGTGAGTTACTGCTGTTTTTCCAGGTTTACATGAAGATCCACAAAGCCCGCCTCCTCTCCCAACTGAAAAGCCTATTGGAAACACTTACAGTACAGCATCTGGAAAACCCAGTAACGTTGAAAGAACGAGAAGTGTGGTAAGTGGTCATTGTGGATTGTTGCAGGTTGAAGACCAATCGATGAGGTAGTTTTAAGAACTCAGCCGATGTGCAAATTATTTTACTACTGGTCAGATTTTTAAAAATACCCTTATTACAAATCAGTTTTCAAGCCCATGTAATTATTTAATATGATGTTTTTATATTTTAAAAATTCCTATTAAAAAAAGTAGGCCAATTCATTGTACTTCATGATAAAATAATTTGTCTTATACCAATATAATGGCAGTGTCTTTTAAATGGCACCAATAATGAGAAAGTCATGAAAAAAATCTCTAAAAACCTATAGTATTTGTGGAAATTTACTTTATTTTCAGTTTTTATTTAAAATATCAATTAATAGTGTCGCAGGTTTGATTCCCAGTCAGGGTACATGCCTGGGTTGCAGGCCATGACCCCCAGCAACTGCACATTGATGTTTCTCTCTCTCTCTCTATCTCCCTCCCTTCCCTCTCTAAAAAAAAAATAATAAATAAATAAATAAATAAAATATCAATTAATGACATAATTTTAACATAATTACCATAAGAATTTGTTAATCTGAAATTTAGGAAAAAATTATTTTTAAAAAAGAGTGCTTTACCATGTACTTGTTAACAGATGGTGGACAAAGAATTTTAAACATGTATTTTTTCACCCTAATAGCATTTCCCCATACTTTTTGAAATTCACATAAGATAATCTTTAAGGTTTCTTTCAAAAGGAACTGATTCTTAAAATCTGTGAACCAAATTTTCAGTTCAAATTTCATAACAGTTTTACATTGTGCATTAACTATGCTTATTTAATGTACAAATCATCTAAATTTCTAGTTGAAGAGTAATTTCTTTGAAGAATGCATTAAATTGAATTAGCCAATATCAAGTTAATGAGATTTTCCTGTAGGCTGAATTAAAATTTAGCAATCACTTGCATTTTCAAAGTGCTCACTAATAAATTTTTATTAAAACTGGGCCAAGAAATCCCAGAGGAAGATGATAGGGCCCTTATCTCACTATATATTGTTGAATGGGAAAATCCCAAATTTTCACGGAGGAGAAGGTGACTGGCATCTACTCTAAAGGGTCACAAAAGAGAGTGAGAAGATGGTGAGTAGGCATACATATCACTCATCACGTCACGGGCTTTGTAAATCCTAAAACTTTATTACAATTTTAGGTATAACTACAGTTGGTGTTCAACAGTCCACAAAGCAACCCACGTTTTAGAAAAACGAGAAGGAAGTTAGAATAAACTAAGCCGTTAGTTTATACAGTTAGAACAAGCTGTATTCATAATTGTTTGCACCGCACACGAACAACATAAGGAAAATCCTGTCCTGCGCTGGCTACAAAGGGGAGTCAGAGCATTCCGTGCTGCACTGTGGTAGATACATACCATAATAGACACACTGGGTCTGAAGGAGGGAAAGGTGAGAAACAGACCACAAATTAAATGATTTGGCTGATGTCACACAACTAGGTTTCCAGGTCCAGAAAGCCAAATCTATGAGAAATTCCTTTCGTCTGAGAATTACAGTTACTGGATGGAATTTACACCAGAGTCCATCAAGACTTCAGGTATGTGTGAGGATCTCTAGAGAAACCATTTATTAGTGTAATGACCCATGAGGATAGGCTTGGTCTTCTGCCAGCCGTGTCTTCCCAGAAGGCACAGGGAAAAACCCTCTACCGGTTTTCCTGCCTTGAGTGCTGGGGGACTGGCCATCTCAGGACAAATGGCCAGAGTTGTAAAGACTCACGTGCTTCACTTCAGCGACGAGGGACTCCAGGGTGAGGAGCACCAGGAGCCACTGCAGCAGTTCTGTGAGCAGGAGCAGATGTTTCTGTGTGCCCTGTTGCCCACCACGGGAACCCAGGGTGCCCAGAGCCTTCCTCAAGGAGGCTGCCAGCTGGGGCAGGAGGGAATCCCAGTGAGAGCACAGAGTCCAGCCCATGAATTCAGGACACAGAGGTGGTGCCAGTTCCTGGAGAAAATGAAGAAGCAGCATTCGCAAAGACCGTTCAGTAATTCCAACAGACACAAGTGTGGTCTTGGAGGAAATGTCTGTCTTTTGAAAATACAGCAAAAAAAAAAAAAAGAGAGAGAGAGAGAAAGGAAATTATTTTGCAATTAGAAGGTAAGGAAGAATTCCAAAGCAGATAAACAAAAGTGTCTATAGGGACAGTACACCAGAAAAACCAACTCCCCCAGGAACTAAAATACCTATCTAAACACATCGAATGCCAGAATGCAGGGGTGTCAGAGTAGAGAAATACTCTGAAAAGCATATGCAGAGACGTTCCAGGTGAGTGTGGAGTACTGAAGAGGAGGAGAGCCTTAATCAACAGAAGTTTTTCAAAGACTGTTGGCAGAACCTGTGCATAAACTTGAATTTGAGCAAATACCAAGGCAAGGGCTTCCGCAGTGACCCATCCCGTTCTCAGTGTGTCAGACGCAGCAGTGCCTTTCCACAGGTGCCCGACATTCCTTAGGGATATGAGTATACTGCCTTGTCTTCTAATTCAGAGTCTGTTCATTGCAGAACATTGAGAAATAGATATTTAAGACTGTTACAAAATGACGCCATCTGGAGAAAAGCGTATCTAGTATTTGGTACTAGATTAGGATTACATGATATGTATGTATTACAGTACATCTATAACTTTCTATGTCAAATGTATACATCTGTATTTTTAAAAATTTGCTTTTGCCCTGGCTGGCATAGCTCAATGGTTGAGCATAGGCTGCGAACCAAAGTGTCACAGGTTCGATTCCCAGTGAGGGTACATGCCTGGGTTGCAGGCCACGGCCCCCAGCAACCACACATTGATGTTTCTCTCTCTCTTTCTCTCTCCCTTCCCTTTCTAAAAATAAATAAATAAAATCTTTAAAAGAAAAAAAAAGAATATAATTGATGACCCTTTATCTGGTCTTTTGAAACATACAAAAGCATTTAAAAATTTTGCTTTTAATTATTAAGGTATCTGACAACTATAATGTTGAGGAAAGCAATAACAGATCCTGCCTACAGTGTTTCTCTGCTTGTTTCAATTTTAAAAGTGGGCAAAGAAATAAAGGAGTTTTTCAAGTATCGTAGCTGTATTTGTCCGGAGAAATACAGGCAGCAGTGCATTTATAAGGCACGGATGATAGTCTGGAATATTGCTGGTTTATGAGCTGGTGACTCTTCTCTACATTAACTGAACTCATTAGTGAAACCAAGTTTTAAGGGCAAGCTTAATTTGTTTTTAAAAATGGGATTTTAAAACATTGAAACATATTTCAGTGGTTGCAGTTATTGGCAATTAATCATTTGGTATTTAAGGAAAAATTATAAATGTGCTGTTTGAATTAAAAACCATGGAAGTGATTCCAAAAATGCACTTATGTATATATAAGGGAAGGAGGGAAACAGTTTGAATTAGCTTAAAGATCTCCCAAAGTATAGTTTTATTTTAAAAAGGCTGTGTAATTTTAAAAAGCTGACATTTTCTCCCCTATGAGGTCTTGGAGAAATATCATGGATTTCAGTGGCTTAGAAAGAAGAAAAGTTTGAGAGAGAGAGAGAAAGAGAGAGAGATTCAATCAGAATTTGAAGAATTTGGTGAGGACTTTGCCCTACAAAAACAGAAGTTTTGGCTTTAAGATTCTTTAACTTCTCATTCAGCATAACATCTGAAAATATTTTCCACACATTATGCTCATTTCCCAATCCTCGGGCTAGAACATGTCCAGGAAAGCTATTTAAAATAGCCGAGTTGGAACCCCTTCCCACAGAAAAATTTTCCCGTTGATCTCCACAGTTCCAGTTCCTGTCGTCTGCTGTTAAGCTAAAACATTCCAAGCTGTCTTTTGTTTTTTGAATTACCCCTTAAATCCTTTCCCACAAAAGTCTTCTCAGCACACCCCACCCCTCTGCTGTAGTGGTACAAGCTAGCTGCTTTTGGGGCCTTTTCTGTGCCTCCACACATGCCTTTCTTTCAGGCCGTCCCTTAAGCTTCTTTCACTGTTCCCACCCCCTTCTGGTTCAGAACCCCCTGCACAAAGTGTAAACCTTCCAGTGATGACAGATCTGCCTGTCCTAAGCAAAGCAGTCACCACTTACTAGCAGCGGTGCATGCCTTATGTGTCATCAAGGGATGAGTAAAGGCCATATGTTGTGTGTTTTTTTAATTCCCTACAGTTCTTGCTTACATTGCTACCACTATGTTAACCTGTCATGATTTAAACATCATCCTTGATACCTGATGAATGGGCTGGGTGTGTAACCAAGCAGGGCAATTGGTGGGGCCACACCCCCGGTCTCCTCCTCTCTGTCTTCCCTTGCATTAGGATAGGGACAGTTCAGGTGGGAACGCAGGATGAGTTAATATTGCTTAAGATTAAAAACTTTCTCTACTTTCTTTCTAACTTGTTTGACTTTCTCTCACTCAGCTACATTTTCATTTATAGATCCAGCCAAGAAGTTGTCCACAATTCCTCTTGACAAGGTCTTATTTCAGATGAACCATAACTAAAAAACGTTCTGATACTTGCAGGAATCCGACCAGGCTGGTCACACAGGAGGTTCTGTGCGAGGACCCCCAAGGCTGCCCCCAAGGTATGTGTGGGAAAGCTTTTAAAAAGTTAGCTGGAGCACAGTTAGTGACTGCGAGACTGGACTCTCCTTTCTCCCATCAGAACTGAGTGCTGCTGGCCTTAGATCTTTTAGAGAGATACATTAAACTCATGAATTCACCCAGGCCACTAGCCTGCAGTCTGCTTCTGACAGCAGGTTGTAGGAATCTCTACTTCTTCTTTCTTTTAACACAGTCCAAAAACTCAACAGAACTCAAACGTGGATCTCTGTTACTTTTCTTCAAATGAACAAGACTCCTTTCTGAACTTAAAACAGCTCCGCTTCTGGAATGAACACACACTCATGCACTCTCACTCTCGCCCTCACACCCTCACACGCTCCTCGCTTCGAGAAGCCAGCCTGGTTTGGGCATTTCCAAAGGGAGACAGGCTTTGTGAGCTCAGTGTTGACCTGTCTTCCTGAGTTCCGGGGCTGTTTGAACAAAAAGCTGTGATGCTGTCAGAAGATACATGTTGGAAATTATTATGTTTGTCATTGGGGTTCAGGGAAGGCTTTCAAAGTAATGGATGATTGTCCTATCTCATTTTCAGAACAACTTACTTTATATTAATCTCGACTGGAGTTGGAATAATAATTCCTATAACATGACTATTAGGAGAGTTTGAAGTTCCTTTTCTAATCATGGACTCGACTACATGACCTAAACCTGTTATCTCATTACTAGCTTTTCATCCCAGACTTTGGTGGAAAGTGCTTAGTTTCCTGAAACTGTCATGGCATATTTAAGAGCAAATGGGGCCTTGGAGAGCTCATGACAGTAAATGCTTGTTTGTGTTGAACTAATGAATCTCTAGTGCAAGATAAGAGGAAGCCGGAACATCATGGCATTTCCTCCAATAATACAGTGTTTAATGCAGCAGCCATGTGCTCAGAAATAGCATACCCTGCATGTTTAGGTAGTTGTATTACTCTAGTAATACCCTAGCTCTATGTGTGTGCGTGTGCGTGTGTGTGTTGAGAGAGGACAAAGCAGAACCTAATACTGATCAAACACTGACTCACAGCTCCCATGTTGCCTTTCAGACCTGTAAATGGAAAAGTCACACCAGCTCGGCAACCTCCCCCGAAGGCGCCCCCTGAAAGACCACCTCCCCCGAGACTTTCTGCAACCAGGACATCAAATAAAAAACTGCCTTTTAATCGGTCTTCTTCTGACATGGATCTTCAGAAGAAACAAAACAACTTGGTGTCCAGACTCTCCAAAGCCAAGAGTCAAGTTTTTAAAAGTCAAGATCCAGTGCTCCCCCCTCGCCCGAAACCAGGACACCCTCTCTACAGGAAATACATGGTAAGTTTTGCTTATAAAGATGCTTGTGGTCAAGAGATTCATCCTAAAGTAATGTATAAGATCCCATATTCCTTAAAAGAAGATGATGAGGCAAATGTGGACTTAACCCTTGGCCCTAAGAGTGCTTTACATAAGCACTCTTAATTAGGTCTTAATTAACCTGGGTCTTTAAAGCTGGGTGTCATCACCAGGAGAAGTACAGGAAGAGGAAGTGGTGCAGACAGGGGTTGACCAAACAGAAACTCTGGAAAAACCTGACCCAGTAGGTTAGACTGATGGGAGTGGCTCTGGCAGATTTTAAATATCCCTTGCCCACAGAGTAAAATTTAAAATAGAAATGTCTTATTTAGATAGATGGTTTTCCCCCGATTTTCCAACTTTTATAAACCTAATTATCGTGGTCCATTTAATAGTTATCAGTTAGAAGTTTTCATCAATAATTGAGATAGCTGAGTTATTGATTTTATTCTCTTATGAATGTTTGTTCTCATCACATGACCTTCAGGTCATTTCCCATACTTAAAAACAAAGTTGATGTCCTCTCTTCACCGTGGTCAGGGTGACCTGATAAAATCTAGAACAAATAAAGATAAGGATATCAGAACCGTTTGTCCTTTTTAAACAAATGTATGACTGTAGCTTTTACCAAAAACAGCAGCTAATAATTTTATGTTGTGCTACATTTCCATCATTGAGCCAGAAATCGTTTTTGCTTTCAGCCATTGGGATTTTTCAGAATCCTCCATAGACAGATAAGAAAGAAATAGTGTATTCATATATAACCATATTCATTTCAACTGATGAAAGTTTTAACTGCTAAAACCCGGGGATCATTTTTGGGTTAGGTGACTTAAAATAGAGAATAAATAAATAAATAGAGAATAAATAAATAAAAATAGTAGCTGATGTGTTGAGTACAAATTATGGGCCAAATATCATTTATTCCTCACACCAGCGTGAGGTAGGTACTATTATTATGGTTATTATACAGATGAGGGAAATGATACACAGAGCCATTCAGTATCTTGTCCAGGGTCACAAAGCTAGTTCATGGTGGGGCCAACTTTTGAGCACAGATCAACTGACACTGAACCCCTGCTGTTATCCATTAAGCCATACTATGAAAATAGTGTTACTAAAAAAAAAAGAAAAGAAAATAGTGTTGGTAGTTGTGAAGTCTGTACTTGCATTGACCATTCCATGAAGAGCCTCACTCAGGAGAAACTAAATTTTGCTTATGGTTCTCAGCATAGCTGTGCAATGTCAATAAAGCACTTGAAGAACTCAGTAAATCTAAAATAATGGTATATTGCAGTAGTATGTCTCATTATGAAATAATTTTTTTAAATCCCCGTCTTTCCAAAGCTATCCCACCATTAAATTGCTAACCAGGAACCTGGGTACGGTGGGGGCCCTGGGACTCCGGCAAGAACGCTGGGAAGCGCCACCACCCACCCCTTGCACTCTGCATGTTGGCTCCTGAGTGATGGAAGGGCCCAAGCAGGTTCTCTTCCCTTGTTGGAAGTGAGCTTGTGAGATCACATCTTCTTGGGTGTGCCTTTATATAAAAAAGGCTCTTTGACTCGTACTCATCAGCCAGAATTGACCAAGGCAGGGAACAGAGTTCCCTGGCCAGGGTGCAGTACAGATGTAAAAACCATTCCAATATCAGACAGAGCCTTGTGGACCTAGAACGTGACTGGGGTTGGGCGGTGACTCGGGCTGAAGTAGATGCTTGGCAGCAGAGAGGCTCTCGAAGGTGAGATTCAAGGCAAATGGAAGCAGTCAGCCAAGCACTATAGAGGAGGTGCCAGTGCCCCATCAGCCTTCAGAAGACAATAGTCATGGAGAACCCCGACTCAAAGGTGGCCGTTGACAGGCTGTGAGGTCCGGTGCTGGGTACCCAGAGGACTTGGTGGCCCTTCTCCTGTAGAATAGGATGTCCTGGTCCTGGTGGTCACAGAGTAACTTTAGGCCACATTCAGCTGCTGCAGGCTCAGGGCCACACCCCAAGGACTCAGTCTCCATGAGAAATGGCAGGCCCCACTAGACCCAGAGCACGAGGAAGCCAGGTAAAGATTTTCCTGGAGAAGTTGTACTTCCTCAGGCACATCTGTCAGATCCCCAGATGACCGGCGGTTTATGAGGAGGTGATTTGATTGTGAGTAATCCTTTTATTGGTTTACATTTAAGCTGTCAGTGCCTCATGGAATTGCCAATGAAGACATCGTCCCGCAAAACCCCGGAGAACTCTCTTGTAAGGTACAGCAGAGCTCTTTCTTTCCTGACAGATGTAAAAGAGTCACCAGCCTCTGTTGCTGCGTTATTAAATGCCTTAGGCTCCAAAGATTAAAATGTGGAAAAAGTAATAATGTTTTATTAAATAATAATTGCTTCAGAGAGTGGTGTTTTACCTTACAGCGTGGGGATGTACTTGTGATGCTGAAGCAGGCAGAAAATAATTACTTCGAATGCCAAAAGGGAGAAGACACTGGTAGAGTTCACCTGTCTCAGATGAAGATTATCACCCCACTTGATGAACATCTTAGGAGCAGACCAAACGTAAGGGATTAATATTGTACGGCCCTCCCATCACCCGTGGCAGCTCATTTCATAGAACTATTAATTACATCTCATCCTCAGGTTTTTATTAGAATTCCTTAACCGGAGTAAAAATTATGGTAGCATTTTATTCCATTTTAAGAATAAATTACTTCTAAGAGACCTGCCACTGCCTTACTAATCACCTTGGTACACAGCGATTGCCACGTGTTCTGCCTCCTGCATGGCATGCCGACTCACGGCAGCCAGAGCACTCAGTCATTAGTTTTCAACTGTGAGAGGCATTTATTTTAAAAATAATGTGAAGATGTTTACTAAAGTGCCAGAGATTAGTTTCCTAGCAGAATGGATAATTATTTTAAAGGGGCCCTTGTAAATACTCAGTCTGAGATAAAAAAAAAAAAGCACTTCCCTTTAAGATTTAAGCTTTGTGTAAACCTCATTTCTCTGATGGTAGCTCATAAAATAATGAAATGGAACCCAACAACCTGAAGTTACAAGTTAGGCCTAACAAATTTGTGGATCCAGGGAGAATGCAGTGCTCATCAAAGGTTATTTGTTTATCAAGGAAAATGCCGTCGAACTAGAGGCGTATGTTTTAAAAGAGCTTTTAGTTAGCCAGTTAAATTTTCACTGTTAATGTAGCAAACATGAAAAACAGCACCCACAAACATGTAATCTGAGTAAAGTATTTGGTTTCCCGTTCATCCTAGTTTTCATGATCTGGTCCGAATCTTTCTTTCTAGAAGGCACCTTATCTTTGGAAGTTTGCTGAAAAACTAAAGATTTGTGTGTTAGGGAGCGGAGAAGGTCCATGTTCAGCTAGTTGCAGCTGGGATGCCGGGAAAATCCTAAGTTTGGTTCACGCGGGGACGTCCTTCTGTCACTCGTCCCCTCTTGGTCTCGATGCAGCGGTATCAGTCCCTCACAGCACCCGTCTTCTCTCAGAACACACCGAGCGGGAATCGTGGAACTTGGGCTGCCAGAAGGCTTTTCTTTATGAGAAATGGAAGCTAAAAAGATGAGACTTTTTTTTAAAACAGTCCAGTTTTCTCTTCCACATTAAAAGTGACGTACTCATCTTGTACCATAGATTTGCAGTTGCCTCCCACTGCCAACTACAGCTGATACTGAAATGCAGCCTGTGTTTGGCTTCTGGGTTCATGGCCAGCCTCACAGTTTTTAGATAATAAATCTTAGCTATTTGAAAGCCTGGCTTTAAGGTAAAGATTTCTAAAAGTGTGTTATACTTAACCCCTATCTTAGTGAACAGAACATAACATGCTATCAGTTGAGGTTGAGTCTGCATATTTTGGGGAAAGTGGGAGATTGTCACCGGGGTCAAGCACGGGTTTCGGCTTCAGGGAGATGGTTTTCGGCTCGCCTTCCACCACTTCAGGTAGCTATCTCTAAACTACATTTTTTAAATGTGTGAAATAGGTATGATAATTGCTCACAGAGTTTACAGAGTTGACATATTATGTGTTCCATTTATATAAAAGTCCAGCGCAGATAAATCCAGAAAGTAGATTGGTGGTGGCCTAGGGCTGGGGGGAGTGGGCCGGGAGAATGGTGGTAAATGGAGGGAGACTGCTAATGGGTGGGTTTCTTGGGGAAGTGATAAAAGAACGTTTTAAACAGATTGTGGGGATGCTTGCACAATTCTGCGAATATAGTAAAACTGTGTATACTGTAAGTGGGTGAATTTTATGATATGTGAATTGTATATCAAAAGATGTTTAAAAAATTAAATGAGCTAATTAATGCACATAAGGTGTTTAACACAGCGAGTAGCACGGCGAGTGAACAATGAATATTAGCTATTCTTATTACCCATTTGTTTGAGCACTTAGAATCATATTAAAAACTGTTGTGAAATATATTAGATTTGCCTACCAGATATCCACCCTAATGTTGTGGTCTGAGTTGCACCGACCCCTTGTAGCCAACCCTATTTGGTGTTTTCTTGTTGCCCTTCACCTACCAGGCCAGGTTGATGAGCAGCATTGCCAGGGTTATCCATGCAGAGAGGGAAGCTAATTGGGAGGCACAAGGTATTATCCCACCTCTTCCACGTTCCCAGGTTTGTTCAGGAGATTTTCGGAAAGTCTGAAAAGAGGCCATTTGTATGGAAAAGCCACTGGAAACGGCTTGGGTAGGTCCAGATGTTAGGTGGGGCAGGTCCTCAGGGAATCACCAGGGCAGGGCAGACAGTGTGAGCCAGGCTGATGGAGACTCAGATGTGGTGTCCACCTGCCTGCTCTGTGGGGAGGGCTCGGCAAAAGCACAGTGGCCGCTGCCAGCATTTCTGTCTGGGAGCAAGCTGCCGCTCCAGCTGTCGCCCTGATGCCAGACAATTCAGTTTCTCCCTGTATATTCCTGGTGCCTTTCAAGCTGCTGCCCCAGCACTGGACATCAGAGTGAATGGGTCCGAGGAAGTCAGTGTGTGGGCCCTTTAAGAGGAACTGCCTGAGACTCCAGCAGGCGTCTGTCTCCCTCAGCCTAAATCCCTGCTGGGTTTCACATCCAGATGTTATGGGGATTTCTCTTCCTTGCACTGGAGCCTTGGGCTAGGGGGCCTGTTGTGGGGCTGGAACCCCTCATTCCTCAGCGGGACCTCAGCAGCCTAGACATCCTTCCTGATTTTAATCCGCCACACACGGGTGTGAGGTCCGCTTGTTCCCTGTCTCCGTCCCTCCTACCAGCCTAAATATGACTTCTTTGTACCCTTAGTTGCAGGACTAAGCTAGATTTCAGCTAGATTTCTGGTGATTCTGAATGATGGTTGTTCTGTAGTTCAGTTGTAATTTTGATGTGGTTGTGGAGGATATGAGTACTGAGTTTACCTACACTACTATTGTGACTGGGTATTAGTCAAACACAATATATTGAATAGTCAATCCTTTTCCACAGATGTAAATCAGAAAAAAATGAAATCCATATAATAAATTATGTTAATAATGATTTTTAAAAGCCCCTTCAGACTTAAGATGTCTTATAATTCTTTTCTACAATCCCTGAAATTCCCATGATGTTCTTTCATTCGGGGAAAGCGCTGAGCAGTCCCTAAGACAATGTCAGTGTTACGTCGGTAAGCTCATATAATGAACTGCCATTAGCCATTGCTCACTCAGCCCAGATTGGTATTTCAGTTTCCCCAGCTTGAGGGAAGGCAGCATGCCTCCACAGGAGCATTTTGGTTGAAAAAGCAGGTGAGATCCAGAAAAGGTCTGAGCAGAGATGCTGTAGGGTAGAAATGGAGACAGTGGGCCTCTGTCCACAGTGCCATCTGATCAGCCAGGTACATCATGACCAGGGGAGGGGCAGAGGATAGAAGTGTGGGGACACCCCTAAGGGGAACAGAGTCATTGAAAAAGGTGAAGAGACAAGACGGCACACAAAAATCTGCCTACATTTACTTCACTGGTTTGGCAGTGTTAAAGAGTTTTAAAATTGTAACTTCAGATGATATCCTTCAGTCAGATTTGATGATGATGATGATGATGATATGGAATAGTAGTCTCTGTTTATGTAAAGAAACTAACAACCGCTTGTTAATAAGAAAAGGTCACTCTTCAACTGTCCCATCTTCTCTAGTCGATGTATGGCAGTTGGCTAGATGGTTAGAGAATATTGAATTCTCTTTGCTAATTTACTTAGAATTGCCGTTGAATAAACCATTCAGATTAAATAGAAATTTCAGACCAGGCAAAGGAGGTAGTGTTGGCTTTTCAATTAGAGAAAACATTCAGTTAAGTGGTAATAAATGAAATGGATTTTACTTTTGTGAATTATACTTTTGTGGAAGTCATTAGCTCATTTCATTATGAAAGGCAAGAGCATCAATTACAGAACTTCCTTCTTTTCCCATCCTAATGAAGATGCAACTTTTAAGGCTCTGTTCTTAAGATTTATTCCTATTCACAGTTTTAGGAGAAAGCTACCCTTGATAGGTAAAGAGGTCAAAAACCACTGCTTGGGGGTAAAATAGATTCTGGTGGAAAAAAGAAATTTCAATGATTCCCTTTTGTTCTACTCTGTTAAAAAATGCTGGAGGATATTATAATTGAGAGTTATTTCTGGCTGCCTTTGGCAAGGACACATGCCTTTTCAACGTCATATTGATTCTTTTATTTGGCTCAACTCTGTGTTTTGCATCTTGTACTCATAATGTCAGGAGGACTCTAATGAGATAAAAAAAATGGGTCCAAGAGTGAATGTAAATCCAGCATCCATCCTGCATATCATTCACAGCCCTGTTTTCCCCCTAAGGATGCAAGCCACCCGCAGAAGCCTGTGGACAGTAGCACTCCTCATGCCGTTGTTCTTCATGATTTCCAAGCAGGTAAGGACAGAAACAGTAAAGTGGTAGAGCCCTTAGGATCCAGGAACAGATGGCCTCTTTGGGTTAATCTCTAAGGATATCTCTCTTCATTCTCTGTGCAACAGAGTCCTAGACTGGGGAGGACATCTTATCAATCACCTGCCTTCAGCAATCACTGATTGATCCCAAGCGTTCCAGGAAGCTTAGCTGTATACCCTTTCTTTTGAAACTCCCCATGAGAGAGAAAGAGAGGTTATTTCCCATACACATGAACAAATAGCAAGTTACCTAGTAGTCACAAACATTTTAATGCTTTCAACACAGTGAGTACCAATTAGGAGATGAAAATATAATTTTTTAAAATCAAGTTTTAAATACTTTTTGTATCCAAAGCTACAGATAAACTTCTGATTTATTTATAACTTCATATTTTAAAGATTTTATTTATTTATTTTTAGAGAGAGGGGAAGGGAGGGAGAAAGAGGGAGAGAAACATTAATATGCAAGAGAAACAATGATCCCTTGCCTCTCTCACGCCCCCAGCTGGGGCCTGGGCCCACAGCCCAGACGTGTGCTCTGGCCAGTCACCAAACCTATGACCTTTCACTTTGCAGGACCACACCCAGCTCACTGAGCCACACTAGTCAGGGCTAAATGTATCTAATTTGATCTTAAAAGAAGAAACTCATGCCCTGGCTGGTGTGGCTCAGTGGTTTGAGTGCTGGCCTGGGAACCAGAAGATTGCCAGTTCAATTCCCAGTCAGGGCACATGCCTGGGTTGCAGTCCAGGCTCCCAGTTGGGAATGTGTGAGAGGCGACCGATTGATGTATTTCTCACACAATGATGTTTTTCTCCCTCCTTTTCCCTCTAAATAAATAAGTAAATAAATAAATATCTTTTTAAAAAAGAGGAAGCTCATAACAGCAATATGTTTTTTAAAAGATATATTTTACATTGATTTGATTAGTATAATTTGTTCACAGAATCAGTAGAACATACTGCCTCAGTGGATAGACTAAATAATACTTTGTGCTCTGCTTTAATCAAATCTGCAAACAGAATAACTTATCATACATAATTGTAATTCTATTTTACAGAACAAGTCGATGATTTGAGTCTCACTTCTGGAGAAATTGTTTATCTTCTGGAAAAAATAGATACAGATTGGTACAGAGGGAAATGTAGAAATCAGACTGGGGTATTTCCTGCCAACTACGTCAGAGTAATTGTAAGTGGATCATGCTTGGTTAGATTGGTCTTATGTGCTGTGTAACTTGCAGTTTGGAAAAAGTAACCAGAAGCTTAGATTCTTGAGAACTAGTTCTCTGTCTTCCATTGATTCATTTGGTGTTTGAAAAATTCGATAAATGAAGGTTTGTTTAACTAGATAATGGTTAATTGGTAATATATGATGGGGCATTAGCACCTAATTCCTAAATGCTGTCTGAAATCCTAAGGTGAAAAAATTCTAAAAGTCAACTGGTGAGTCAGCTATTCTTGGAGAGTTGGTAAGCACTTAGGAACATATATTAATTCTTTGAAACATTTTGTAGACAACACTCAAAAAGTACAAGATTGTCTTGAAGGAATTGCCTCTTTCCTATTAAGTACATTTTATTTTTGGTTTCTTTCATTCTTGCCACTCCATTTATTATATTTCCATCTCTTAGAAAACTAGATTTGTGAATACCAAAGTACTTTCATTGGAGGTAGTGGTTCGTTAATGGTTTTTTACATGAAAATTTCAAGTCTGATTGGGAAGAGTTATATTATATTGTCAGAATTGTATAGACCTTCGCAGCCTGACTTGTAAAAGCACACCTGTATGGCTGAGCCCAGTGGCTGGGAAACGTGGGGATGAACTCAGACTGCCCCTTTGTGACAATAGGAAGAGTGTGACTCAGCCTCAGACATAACTTACTGGCATTGGAAACTATCGATAAAACTAGGTTAAGTGGTTGAGCATTAATAGCTATTGTGGAGGAAGCAACTAATATTTCATTACAGGGACTTAGAAAACACATATAACACAGAACCTGTATTTTTCCAATATAGATGAGTTGGAGTCTCTTGAATTAAAACTATGGGCCTTAAACATTGCCTAGTATATATATTCCCTGATTCTTTGGAACAATCCCGCCACATTCTCTAAATTAATATTAAGGATGATGTTAGTTTTAGCACTCTTCCTCATTTTTCTTCCGCCCAGTGTAGCAGTACTTTAGAAGCACAATTACCTCACTGAAATCAATTACACTGAATCTGCCACATTATTGGTTTAAGTATTATTTCTAAGCCTGTAAGTTTAAAAAATTATTTTGAAACTTTGAGCTTCTAAAATTCATCAAGAAGGGCACTGACTTATTTTAATATAGACCTCAAAGCCTTCAGTAGTTTTGAGACTGAATGCATTATGGTCAAATATTTTATTACAGCGTAGCTACACTGAGCCTTATAAATGAAGTATTAAGTAAAGCGCTTGCCACTTAGTAGGTGCTCACTTAGTACCAATTCCTTTTTTCCTTCCCTTTTTGCACTGATTGGGGAAAAATGTTCCGGAGTTATGAAAATGGAGAGAATCCACAAGTTTGGTTAAAATGTTTTAATTGGGGCTCAGGAAAGTACTACGGAATCCTACCCACTCTTTGAGTAGGTGTGGTGGGGGGTCCAGAAGGTTGGTGCCTAGTCTCTATCCCCAGTCCTCCCCATCTGATGTTTTTAACTTGGAGGACATGGGAAAGAGAAAACTCGGTCAGCTGTAATGATACTAATGTGCTTATTCCAGCAAATAAGAAAAGGATTGATTCGCTATTCAAAGAAGGCTGCGTCATAGGATATATATTTTTTTTCAAAACCCAAACTCTGAATTTCTTAACTTTAGCACCTGTGGTACCACTTAATCAGTAAAACACCCATCTAAAATGGTTAATTTTGATCATGTATTTTCTAATTACCTAGCCTTGAATTCCTCTTACTAAAATCTGAAAAAATACAATTGTCATGATTCGTCTTTACTAGGTTGATGTTCCAGAAGGCGGAAATAGGAAAAGAGAATCAGTTTCATCTCATTATGTTAATAAGTAAGTTTTACTTGTGTTCTTTTGTACCAAATGCAAAGGAGATGAGCATTTATATCATAATACTGAGCCTAAACACTTCAGATGTATGATTATTGATTTCCAGTGTTCCTTTTTAATTATGAGGAAAACTCATTTAAAAGCCATTGTGGATTAAAATGCTAATGAAGGTTCAGTATGCTGACACCAGCTGACCTAAGCAACTCCTCGTGTCGATACGGAACAGCGACAGTAGCAGAGAGACTACCTTGGTGCTTCCCACAGCCTGGCCTCAGCTTAAGCAGAGCCGGTGTTGGCATCCTGTGTATTGTATTTGGGGCTTCTGGTATTTACCTGTCAACACATTTATATTTTTTAAAAGATTTTATTTATTTATTTTTAGAGAGGGAAAGGGCAGGAGAAGGGGAGGGAGAGAAACATCAATGTGTGATTGCCTCTCACGCGCCCCCTACTGGGACCTGGCCCACAACCCAGGCATGCGCCCTGACTGGGAATCGAACCGGCAACCCTATGGTTCGCAGCCCATGCTCAATCCACTGAGCCACACCAACCAGGGCTCTATCAACACATTTTTAGAAGGTTCAGAACTTTTGTCCAAAAATATGAACCCTAAAAAAACTGCTGGACATTGTGTATTGTTTTGTTTTTAAGAGAAACTAGAAGCAAATGAAGGAAGAGTTAAGTTGGAGGGGTCTCCCTTTATGTCTGAAGACCTTTTCATGAATTTATGTATCCTTTTATGCATCACTGTAACTCCTCTGTGATTAAAACACTGCCACAATGCAACTTTATCTTCCAGTTAAATGAGCAAAATAGTAGAATTCACTACCTGCTAAAGACTGTAAACCTGTCTTTGAATAGGTCAGACATAAGGAGATGCTCCCAGAGGACTTTAGAAAATAAATGCAAAGGTTACCACAAATAAGAAAACTTCTGATGCCACAGTAGTTGAATTCTACTTCGGGTTCAGTTTTTCTCCTGTTTCTAAGCTGTGTTTAATGTGTCAGCAGGTTGAAGTTGCAGTGGGCTTTCACAGCCGTGGATCCATTCTTAAATCGGTCTCAGATTCTGACCTAAATCAGTGTTTCACTGGAGCCAGTGCCAACCTTTTCTCCTCAGGCGGTTGCCTCTCCTTGGCCTGTTGCTATTGAAATTTCCTTTCTAAAGCCTCAAACGGAAGGTTTGGTGTTAAATCATGCCTTCTAGAGACACAGGTTTATGTCTGCCTTTATCTTCTTGTAAATCAAAATTGCAGCTCATTTAAGGATGGTTCAATTGTAATTCTCAGAAATGAAGGCTTTTTAAAGGCGATAAAAAGATTGTTTTTAAAACAACAGTGTTAGGCATGAGATTAAGTGTGATAGTGTGATGAGTTTCTGTTTTCTTCAAACCTGGCTTTGAAGACCATTCATCTGCAGCAAGATGATTGATTCAACAAACATATACTGAGCATCGACTCTGCCCAGCTGATGCCCACTGCATTCTGTCGCAAAAGTCTGATGTCTTGCTCTGAGATTCTCAGGGTTAGCACTCCCAAACTCGGGGTTCTGGTTGAGCCATGGGATTTACCGCGGTCCAAGAACACAAAGACACGATGACTGGGGAGATTCTGTGATGCAGCAAAAGTGATTATGGGCCATGGCAGTGTCAGCTGACCACCAGCTTAGGGACTTCGGCATGTCTCTCCACATTGCCTTTAGCCTTTCTGAGTAACACAGGTTCATATCTAAAAAGTAAGGCCTGTCTATAGCCTAAGCTACAGAAATGTAGCTTATTTTTTCTCACGGAAAGGTTTACATTATGCCCAGTATACCTCGTTTCATAGTAAACACAGAATATTTATTGAAAGACTGAATGAAGGCTTTAAAGCATTTTACAAGTCAGCACTCTCTTGTTTAACCCACAAATGTAATCTCTGTTCAGAGGTCCAAGATGTGTTGCGCGGTTTGAGTATATTGGAGACCAGAAGGATGAGTTAAGTTTCTCGGAGGGAGAAATTATTATTCTGAAAGAGTATGTGAGTGAAGAATGGGCCAGAGGAGAGCTTCGAGACAGAACTGGGATTTTCCCCCTGAACTTTGTGGAGCTCCTCGAGGATCACCCCACCTCTGGTACAGACGTTTTAAGTGAGTGTAGAGAATATTGTTCGTGATTGTGTTCTGCCCTAATTCAAATAAACAAATAACAGTGTAATACTTAAACTGCATAATAATCCATATTGCCTTATTATAAAAGGTATTTGTAAACGGTCACTTGTGTGGCATAGTTACTATGGTGGTAATCTCTCAGAGACCTGGTGTGGGTGTTCTAGGTAATTAGCAACGGCTTGAAGTCAGACATGGCAGATGAAGAATCATAGACTTCTGAACAGAAATGGGCTGTAGAGTATAATTAACTGTGTCCGCCTTCACTTTGCAGTGAAGGAAAAGGGCCAGAGAGGGCGGTGCCTGCTCAGGTTAGATGATAGCCGGGACATGAAGACTCTTCACTCTCCCCTGCAGTTTTTCTCCAATACTGTGTGGTCTGTTTATCTGAAGTTTTGACTTTTTTTCAAAATGTAGGCACAAAGGTACCACAGAGGATGAAAAAAGAAGATTCTGGAGCAAATTCTCAGGTAGGCTGCTTAAATAGTTAATAACGGTACAGAAAGCCAGGTTTCAACTCTGGGAGGAATATTAAAATCATAATTATCAAGAGACAATGTTATGAAGTCATTTTTCAGTTCATATAGTAAATGTTTGAAATGGATACAGGGGTGAGCAACTATAGGTTTACAGTTGTGAGTGCATGAAAACAGAGTTTATTCTTGTATTATTATTTATTAACTATTGTGTTATTTATTTATATTACAACTGTAAACCTGCGTTTGCCCATCCCTGTACTTAAGGGTCAATAACTGTATTGCATCTAGAGTCCATACAATTAAATTAGAAAGACATGTAAACCCTGATAGAAAACAAGGAAAGAGACATGATTGGAAAATTAAATACATAAAGAGATAGTATAAGTGGCTGATATTAAAAAATATTTAACCCTACTAGTCATCAAAATGCCTGGTAAAGCAACAATAAAGTATCATTTAATTTAATTTAATTAACATAGATTCAGTTCAACTCAATACTAAACAAGTAATTATATAAGTGTTCAAAATGAGCAAGTACAAATGATTATTATTATTTTTTACCCTATAAGTAGGGTAAAAAGAAGGTTTAGGCCACAAACAAAGTCATGTTATTATAATAGGAAAAAAATGGCAAACAACCTAAATATGATCTCTATTGGTAGAAACTTCTGAGGCCATGAAAAACTAGATTTGTAAAATAAATGTAATGGGAATAAAATGGGAAATTGAATATACAACATAAAAAGACTAGAAGGAAATGTATTTAAGTTGTTAATATTCAGTTTCCCCTACGTGGTAAGATTATAGGTAGGTGGGGTTTTTCCCACTTCTTCATATATTTCCAAATTTACCAAATATTTAGGATCATTTGTATTATTTTTATAATGGGAGACAGAAAAAGTGAGTAAAATTTTGATGTACTAGCTCTGGCCAGGTAGCTCAGTTAGTTAGAGTGTCATCCTAATATGCCAGGATTGTGGGTTCATTTCCCGGTCAGGCCACATGTGAGAATCAACCAATGAATGCACAAATAAAACCAATTAAAATTTTTTTTTACTTACTATATAATGTGACTTCAGAAGTGTTCAAATGGAATAGGAATGTGGGTGACTTCTGTTGTTTTTTGTGATTGTTAAAAGTGTGAGGCCTGATGGGATCATTGTTTGCCAAAGTGTCACTGGTAATTGGACTGCGTGTCTCTCAATTCTTTGTTCCCCACCTACGGATCAAGACAAATAGGAAAGAAAGTGACAGAAGCGCTCCAAAAGGAAATGGCACATGGTTGCTTACATTTTTGGGAGTGATAAGTGCCAAGAGATGTAGGGCCAGCTGTGGTAATGCAGGAGCAAGAGGACTCAGGTTAGGGGGGTTTGTTTGCATGTTTTTCCCTTTGTTTTATAAGCCGTCAGTTGTTGAGAACTTAGGATGTGCCCAGCACTGTACTAAGTGTTCTACATGAGTCCTCATTTAACCCCCACGGCAACACTGAGGTGAAGCTGAGGCCTAGAGGAAAGAAGCATCCTGCCCGGTGTCAGCTAGGAAGAGGCAGAATGGGGTCTGGAACCCAGGCCTTCTCTTCTCCCTGCTTGAGCTGCTGCTTTTTTTTTTTTTAAATCATTGTTCAAGTACATTTTTCTGTCCTTTACTCCCATTCCAGCCCAACCACCCATCCCTCCCCACCTCCCTCCCATTTCCACCCCCTGCCCCTAGTTTTTGTCCATGTGCCCTTTATACTTGTTCCTGTAAACCCTTCCCATTCTCCCCTGAAATTCCCTCCCTTCTCCCCTCTGGTCACTGTCAGCCTGTCCTCTATTTTAGTGTCTTTGACTGTCTTTTGCTTGCTTTTATTTTGTGGTTTAGGTTCCTTTAAAGGTGAGATCATATGGTGTTTGTCTTTCACTGCCTGGTTTATTTCGCTTAGCATAATGCTTTCCAGCTCCATCCAAGCTGTTGCAAAGGGTAGGAGCTCCTTCTTTCTTTCTGCTGCATAGAATTCCATTGTGTAAATGTACTATAGTTTTTTGATCCATTCATTTATTGATGGGCACCTAGGTTGCTTCCAGCACTTGGCTATTGTAAATTGTGCTGCTATGAACATTGGGGTGCAAAGGTTCTTTTGGATTGGTGTTTTAGTGTTCTTAGGATATAGTCCCAGCAGTGGAATTGCTGGGTCAAAAGGCAGATCCATTTTTAGTTTTCTGAGGAAGTTCCAAACGGTTTTCCATAGTGGTTGTACCAGTCTTCTTAACAGAGGGTTCCCATCCTGACAGAGATGCCTCTTCACGGAGCAAAACCTTCGTCTAATGTGTTTGAGGTAGTGTGGTGGGCAGAAAACCCATTAATTGTATTACATCATGAAAATGATCATATTTTATGATAAAAAGTTATTGGAAACTTTTATTTCTGAATACTGATAGCAACATAAAGTGTTGAGTGATTTGAAGAAGCCTTTGGGCTTTCAAATCTTATGACTCCTTAGCTTTTTTCCCACCATTGTTTAAAGCTTTGTAGAAATCAATTTCAAATAAAATCTCACATTTCTTATCAAACTTCTGACTTGTAACAGGATAACGGTCTCTCTGGAGAATGGTGTGAAGCTCTGTACAGTTTCACGGCGGAGACCAGTGATGACCTGCCCTTCAGGCGGGGAGACCGGATCCTGATCCTCGAGCATCTGGACTGCGACTGGTACAGGGGCAGGCTGCGTGACAGGGAGGGGATCTTCCCAGCAGTCTTCGTGCGGCCCTGCCCCGGTGTGACAGCAGCAGCAGGTGACTCCTGCTCTCCCACGGGAGCCCAAGACTTCACACCCACGCATATTTCTTTCCGCTCTGGCCATGCTCGGTTTAAATTGTTCGCCTACATTTCAAAGGGTTGATGATCCATAAAGTTTTGTAAACTCTCTTCTTTATGCTCGTATACTTTGTTAAGAGTTATAGGGAAGAAAGATAAAAATGTCTTCATTTGGTAATGGCCAATTTTGTCTACTCAATACATTTTCTATAATTTTTTCCTGCTAAGAAACATCCTTAATCTTTTTGCAAGTTAAATAAATTCAAAATTAATTGAAAGTATTCTGTCCTGGGGGCAGGGTGGGGGCGGGCGGTGTATAAAGGACTAAGTGGAAAAAAGCAAAAAGAATTTAAAAAAAGAAAAAAATATTCTGTCCTGGGAATGACAGGAGGGCTTCATAAAATGTTTGTGTTTCAGTCCAGTGTCTTTTATTTTTTCATGTGTTTTCACAGCTGAGGCAAAAAGCCTGTCTCCTTTAGCACTGAAGGCGGGGAAGAAGGCCAAAGCCCTGTATGATTTCCATGGGGAGAATGAAGATGAGCTTTCCTTCAAGGTAAGAATGTGGCTTTGGTTTGGTTTGGTTTGATAACCTGTATTTAGCAGCTATAAATTATGAAATCTCTTTCACTGAGGGGTGAAACATTTAGGTGGCCTGTTGACCATTTGCTAGGAATGAACAGGTCTCATACCCTAAATCTAAAGAACAAGATTAGAGACAGTGAGTAGGGCTAATATAAATTATCAGCAAGGTATTTAGGTACATAAATAAAACCTTATTGGCTTGATAGCCCCACAATCCCCAAACGAGTTCCTAATGCCTAGGCCTTGTAACGTCAGATCTCAGTAATACTGGAGTTTTCGTTTGTAGCCCTAGTAAAGGATGATTTTCCACATGGTCCTTGTAGCCTGCTATGGTCATGTCCAAGAAATCAATGGAGAAATCAGTTGGTACCCACTGCAGCAGGGCCTCATAAGACACTGAAGTCTTGTTCAGAAGAACACTGACTGGGAAATCATCCCAAAAGTTTAAACTGCTTAATCTATCTTCATCAAAGAAGTACCTTTTTGTTTTTCAGTAAAAACAAAATATTTTCATGATCCTGTTTCCCCAGTCCACACATAGTTGGACCGTAGTCAGAAGGAAGCCCCCTTGGTACTTTGGACCTGGGCCAGGGCAAGGAAGGCGGGTTTGGCTCTCATTGCTCTCAGAAGAGCCTGTGTCAGACAGCGGTAAATTCTCCATCATTGGACGTGCTCAGTCAGAGCCAAGATGCCAGAGAAAGAATGAAAGCATCAAGGAGTGATTAGACAAGATGAGTCTTAAAGCAGCAGGAGCCCAAGCAGGGTTTCTGCTCGTCTACAGCAAAGTGAGGAAGCTAGGGCGATACTGGGTTTGTGCAGGCTGGGGAGTCACGGGGTCAAAGGGGCATGCTGAAATAATGTCGGTTCTGAGGTTGCTAACTTTCCTCTTTTGTGATGGGCTTTTCCTTTCTCTCAAGAATTTCTTTTATCTTCTTCATATTAAAATGTCATTTCTATTACAAAATACTGTGAGTAAATGATAGATATTTCCTATGCAAAATTATAATTTGATAATCCTATATCTCTTTCTTCCTTTCTTTTCCTCCCTCCCTCCCTTTCTAAAATTCCTTGGTTCTTGAAATCCAGATGTTTGAAAACTGTTGGCCCAGTCCTTTTTAGTCTTAACAGTCAGTAGCTCATAATTTATTCTTTTTATCTTTCTATAGAGTGTTACTTCAAGTGGACAATCTGGATTCAATTTTTTTTTTGGTGGTATTTTGGCCTTCATTTAAGTCATGGCAACATAAATACCAACTCACAGTATCTTTCAGAAAATTAGGTGGTCATCATTTTACAAATGACTGACTGTGAACAAGATACAGTTCTAGAGCTTTTAGTTAGTGGGTTGTTTACTGCCTTCAGTACTGCTGATCATTGATATTTTATTGAATACCCGCAGCATATTATTAGTAGATGAAACTTTTTTTATTGTTCTAGCCCTCAGAAAACTGACATACTACGTACGTGTGGAACAGAGCTAAGGAAAATAGTTCAGTCAACCATTATGCTATAATTTAAGAACCAGAAGGAACTTATTTATGACAGAAACTTTGAATAGCCAGAAGTTTTACAGATTTTAGCAGAGTAAATTCATGACATTTGATAATAAGCATTTTTCTTGCTCATTTTCCATAAAGAAAGGCCTTAAATCAAACCATTTTTTCCAGAGGGCTATGTACCAGAGCTAAAGTAAATCCATTCAGCCTGATGAAGATATTCTTTAAAGTAGCCAGGGTAGTTTTGGACCATTATGGAATCTTAAACCCAGATTCTGAGTAATAGTTAGAAACAAAGAACAAAATGGTTTCAGGAGATAATTTCAGAAGTCGTGTCATCTGTTAGGCAGTTATAATTCACACATGAATAGATACACAGTCCCTTGTACTGTCCCGATGAGGATGGACCAGTGTGTTCTGGTCAGGGTGAGTCAGGGTGAAGCTCTTCCAGACAGGAAAGAATGCAGATTTGACATTGAGGCCAGGGAGGATGGAATAAAGCAAATGGTGGAGAATACCATTATGTGGAAGCATAAATGTGCAGTACAAAATGCTCAAGGTGTTGTGAAAAGGCAGTTACAGTAAAAGCCTTTCTCATTGAAGAGGTCTGCTAGAACATGTGATGGCCGTGTGGCCTAATGGTTAGCAACATGGCCCAGAAATTACACCAGGTGTGATTCTGTCTCTATGCACTATTACACATGCAACATTGAGCAAATTATTTAATCTCTCTGAGCTTAAATTTCCTTTTCTTTAAAATAAGGAAATCTATACAAATATCCCTCTAAAATGGGGATAAAAATAGCATCTACTTTTAGGACTACAGTGTTGTTTACATGAGTTAATTCCTATAAAGTACATAAAATAGGACAAGGTATACAGTAAGCACATGGCTCACTTGTCTCCAGGTCTTTGCCGAAATGTCGCTTTCAGTGGGGCCTTCCCTGACTGCCCTAATGAGATGGCCACCAACCACATACTTTCCTCCTCTGCCAGTTTACTTGTCTGTCTCCCCACCCCAGAATGGGTCCTTCAGTCACTGCTGTGTTCAGAATGCCCAGAACAACAGAGTCTGGGACGTAGCAGGTGCTCAAGAAATTGTCATGAGATGGGGGAGGGGGGAGTGTGTGTGCATGTGTGTGTATGTATATGTACATACACATACATACATATGTATGATAGCTGGCATTATTTTTATATATATGCATATATGATAGCTGGCATTATTTACTTAAGAAGAATTTACATTAGAGATGAATTTGGGGGACACGAAATGCAAGCAGGAAAATAAAAGTGCAACAAGGGTGGCACTGGCAACAAATGGCTTTGAGGCAAAAGGAGCACAAATGGCATCATTGGGTGCAGATTATCTTTGACGGACCATGTAATCCTCTCAGCAAAGCACGGTAAACAAGTTAAACAGAGAAGACTGTATATGCCTCTTCAGATGGGCTGCCCATCATGCTTATATTCAATAGAAACGAATAATTATTTCCAATTCTGTCTTCTTACAGGCTGGAGATATAATAACAGAGCTGGAATCTGTAGATGACGACTGGATGAGTGGAGAACTAATGGGAAAATCTGGAATATTTCCCAAAAACTACGTTCAGGTTTTACAAGTCAGCTAAAGGTGAAGCTCTACTGTGTTCCTTGGCACAAGAACTCACTTGAACTATCACTTTGACTATCAGATATGGTGTTTTGTTTGTTTTTGTTTTTGCACTATTTTTTTTAAACTGAAAGAAATATCTATGCTGTATATGGTACACTAGAATTTTCTGAAAGCGGAGAATGTCTAGATTTTGTGGTTAGCTTCCACTCACAGTAGAAACATGCATGTGAAAACCCATGAGAAAGCATTCTACCGAGGAAAACATCAAGCAAGATCAGCAAGGCAGGCGAACACTTGCCTCAGAAAAGTGCCTGGTGATAGAACCGCACAGGGAGGCTTACAAGCAAAAGTTGCGTTTGGACATCTCTTTTCATCAGCAAGAATCAACTAACCATGCTTCTTTATTTTTTTACTTTCGTTTAAAGACAGGACATTTGATACATTTCACTTCTGATGCTCAAATTTATTCTAACAGCTTGAATGCATTATCCTTATTTACCAGGGCAAATCCTTGTTTCAGTAACAGGTAGTTTATTCTCTAGCGGGAGCCTTTATAAGAATGTGGTGAGTCAGCTCGTGCTCACCGAATGCTACTTGTGTTAGTGTTTCATCTTTGTCCAAGGATTTCAGTGGGGTTAAAATTCGATGCATCTTAGAAGAACCAAAACCATCCTGAGATACCTTGCTAATATGACTAACCCTTCTACATACCAGCCCTACTCACTTTTTTCCTCCATTTATACTTTATGTTAACAGGGTTGTTATAAAGCACATTCTCTGATCCTACAATCATTCTTTTGACAATTACTGGTACCCAAAGAAAAATTCATTTTCTTTGTGTTACCCCAGTAATACAGAAAAGCTGCTGTGTCTTGTTACAGTGGTACATGATGAATCACATACATCTCAGAACACAGAGTGACTGTTAAGGTGGAAAACAGTGTCGAGCCCCCACAGCTCATTTCTTCCCAATATAATCAGAAAGAAAAACAATTGAGAAGACTGAAGGCTGATAGTCTTTTGGTTTTTGTCCCAGCTCATCCCCATATTAGAGTAAGTAAAAAAAAAAACCCTTTCCTGCTGTATCCATTGTTATGCATGCCAGGCGTAAGAAAAAAGTGGTTCTTTTAGGACTAAATCAATTATAGTTTATGGGCGAAAGCCAAATAGATTGAAGACAATCTTCCAAACAGATACATGGAACAGAATTTCACTGGAAAGGTACACCACTTTGCCACCAATGTTCATGACTTTCTTCTATTTTTCAGAAGAGTTTCATAAACTGGGCCACTTTTTAGTGTTACTGTTTCTTATTGTCCAAAAGGTTAGGCAGCCAATGGTCAGACCATTATGTGAACATGAGATGGGGGGAGTTCATCTTTTTTTTTTTTTTTTTTTACTTCATCTTTGGTTGAAGGTCATCTCAGCTATATGGTTATAATTGATAACAGGGCTGTTTTCCCTATATGTTTTGGGTAGAGAAGACAATACAAAGAAAATTCTTGTCAAATTTTACTCAAGAGCAATTTCTTAAGAAATGGATGACTTCCCAATTAAATTTCCATTTGCAGCAAGTTGTATGATAGGAAGTAGGGTGTATGTCTGGAATAGGACATGATGTATATTTCTTTGCCTGTGTAATCTTAACATATTAAAGATCATGAAAACTTAGCTTTATTGGAGAAAAATATCCTCTTAAATTTTAGCCTTCTGTCAGCAGAATGATAAGTGCAATAGTTGTACATCTATTTGACATTATAATAAACTGAACTGAACTTTTCAGTCCTTTTCTCATACCAGACTGAGTTTTTTGAGGATGGAAATGGTATCTTCTCTTTATAACTCCAGCCCTTTGCTCCATATAGTCTCAGTAAAGGTTGGTTGCATGGATGGATGGATGACTTACATATATAAGTCTTGAATCCACTGAGATCTAATATCTTTCCTCTTTAGTTTGTTGACAAAAGTCTCCATTGAAACAGAATTTGCAGTTTTTATGTCACTTCACTTTATCATGCTACATTTTTTGCTTGTCATTTACTACCTACTCAACTGATAAGAAGACAAAATGTAGCTTGGTATGGGTTTTCATAGGTACTTTCTTGTTTTGTATGTTGATTGAGCATAATTTTTATAGTCTGTGAATTTCATAGGGAAAAAATTGGAATGTATTGTTTTTCTTTTCAGGGGTTTTAGGAGAAAACCTGATATTGTTCATCCAAGTGTCCTCAAAGTAGAGTCTCCTAATTTTTTTTCTTTTTTTTAAATTGAAACTAGATTAAGTCAATATATTATTCTTACCCTTTTGATTACCCCCTTTGAACACTAAAAAAACAGCAAGATTTCATTAAAAGATCACCAAGTTTACATGGCCAGAGGGATAACGTAATACATCTTTGATTGTGCTCATGAAAAACACAGGTTTGGAATACAGTCTGAAACATTCCAACTGAAATATCAGTGCATTTATCAAAATGTGTTGTTAGAACTGGTATTTAGAATATATATATATATATATTTATATATATAAAAGGTATATATATATATAAAAGGTATTTATATATATAAAAGGATATATATATATCCTTTTTACATAGGGTTTTTAATAGAGATATTCTTAACAATAATTGTTTAGTTTTTATTCAGTTTCTTAAGTTTAGGTAAATATACCTAGGGGAATACTGATGAATATATGGATATATTATAAGAAGATATTTGTTATAATCATTAATGTATATTTCTTTTAATCAATGTCAAATGCATATGGGCCATACATATGACTCATAATTCAATGCCATTTTGAATGCCATTGAATGAACTCTTAACAGTGAATTTTTCCAGAAGTAATAGGAAATCATTTTCTAACCTAAGCTTTTTTACTTCACTGTAATATTAGAGGGGGGAAAAAAAACACAAAGCCTATCTCAGAACAACAGCACCATCTAGGGGCCTCTTACCTAATGGCAAGTTCATCCCATTACACCACAGAGGAGTCTGCAGACCACAGCTCGACCTGCAGAGGTTAAATGATTTGCCTAAGGCCATACAGGTATGGCAGAACCTAAAGCAAAACCTAGTTCTACTGATTCCCAATTCAGTAATTTTTCTATTTTTTGTGCTGAAGTGGGACATTTCTCTTTAGCAGTTAAACAAGTATACTTGATCTGTTTTATTGGCCTGTAAAAGTTGTACCTTCTTACATATGATAGAAATAGAACAAGTTACAATGAATAAATTAAAGCCTTGAATTTCTTTCAAGAATAATCCTGCTCGGCTTCTCAGTTTTACATAGACAGTTTATATTGATGTGACCTAGAAACTCAAACATGAACTGACCCATTAATAGGGATTTCTTTTTTCTGTTTAATAGGGAACATTTGAATTCTTGGAACATCAGATCTTGAGAAGGTGTGTCTGTGGGGCTCTGCTCTTGGTAACAGCGGAGCAATCCAAAACCTAGGTTTTGATACACCTGTAGCATAAGACACTACTTAGCCTTTTGGAGTGCAATAGATGAATTCAAGCACTGTTAAGCTAATGAATTTTTATTTGAGTCTGGGACACATTCTGAGTTTTAAAAAATGAACCATAATTGTATGCACACCACAGACTGTTTATCTTTAAATTCTGTGAACTAGGTAACAACTCAGTGAAAAATTTATCAGGATAAATACTCAAATTCACAATTCACAAAGGACAACTGTCTACCAGTTGTCTATCCTGTTTTAACAGAAATTAACTGACAATCATCATACCAAAATATCGGCCCATATTTAGTTCTTCTTTATAATTAAAATGAAAGAAACACCCACATTTATTTCTCCAAGCATATCCAAGTTTTTTATTGGATAGAGCCCTGACTCAAAGGATCACTCACACCCACCACATTGTTCCCCTGGCCCCCAGTTGGCCGACAGCTGAAGAGCAGAGTTGTTGCTGCCTCAGAGCCTCAGAACCTGTGGCTAACCCCACAGCACAGTACTATACCTGAGACTATTCTAGGGAGACAGTGTTGTCTTCTCTTTAAACATACAAAATATCCAAGCTATTAAAAATATACAGTGATTGAAGATATTATCCAATGCATCTGTATATACAGAGCACTCTAGGGAAGATGAGTGTGAGGGAGCAGGCAGAGGTCTGCATCTTTGCTGGTCCGAGGGGCCTGGTTGGGCTATGAGAAGGCCTAGTTGTCCACTGTAATAAGGAAGTTGGGGTCAAGGTCAGAGAGCGAAAGAAAATGGGACACTAAAACACTGTGCATCTGTAAGACTAATTACCACGTGGGATGACTGTGCCTACACAGGTTTGTTGGGCTGTTCCTGGTGGATGGGAGTGGCTGGCCTCTGGATCATAGGCTACAGGGTCCAGCAGAAGTAACACCTGCTTGAGTGTGGTTGGTAGGCTAATAATATGGGTGTAAAATTTTATAGTTTTAATTTGAACATTTCACCAAAAACATCATATGGCGTGCTTGAGTGTGACATTGTTATGTTACAGAAGTACATGCTTTTAATTTTGTAATAAAAGAGGGGCGTTATTTGTGCCAGACCCTGTATTTGATGGACACAGGGAGGGACTGCTTTACAAAGAGAATAAGGGTAGTGATGAAGCCATAGCTGAGTACCTCAGGGAAGATGAGAATCAGGATCCCTGCTGAGCAGAGAGCTGCACACTGATGTTCCCCAAATCGCTCAACCTTCAGAAAGTGAGATTTTCTAATTTAGGATTTGGCAATGAGGATCACTACCATCAGGCCATAGATGGCAGTGCTACTGATCCTGACCTCTGGAACGTTGGACATCATATTCAGATCTGGCCACGTGATTCCTGGAGGTGATGCCCAGACCACCATGCAAAACTATCTGCAGAGCCAAGTCCTGAACACCCTGACAACCAGGAAGCCCAGGACAGGAAAAGTGTATCTAGTTTTGGTCCAGACTTGGATAGGTATGCAGGGGCGAGTTCATCGTGTGGAAAGCGTATCCTTGACTAGAAGAGAAACAAAGATGCAGCAAGTCCATAACCTAGCTGACCAGACCCACATTTTTTTTTTAATTGGGGAATGACTTGCATAAAATGCAGATAACTTAGTATACAATTCTGAGTTTTGAGAATAGTCTGTAGTCATATAATCAATAAATACATAGAACATTTTCATCACCCTAGAAAGCTCCTCATACCTCTGCAGCCAGTTACATCTCCTACCCTACCCCCTGCAGAGCAATCCCTGTTCTGATTTCTATCACCATAGATTCATTTTGCCTGTTTAGGAACTTCTTAAAATAGAGGAATGTAGTATCTGCTCTTTCCTTGCTCAAATATAATTTGAGATTTATCTAGTGTGTGTGCAACAGCTCATTCCCTTTATTTCTCGGTGGTACTTCACCATAGGAAAATACCACAATTTGTTCATTGTATTTGATTTTAGAGGGAGAGAAAATCATTGATTTGTTGTTCCACTTACTTTATGCATTCATTGGTTGCTGCTTGTATGTGCCCTGACTGAGGGTCGACTAACCTTGGCCTATCAGGACGATGCTCTGAGCTACTTGGGCCAGGACTAATTTATCTGTTCTCTTTTGGGGTCTTACCCAGTTTTTAGCCATTATGAATAAAGCCAGTGTGAACAGTTTTTTCCCAGTTTTACTGAGCTATTATTGACTGGTATGAACATTCTTATACAAGTCTTTGTGCATACAGGATTTCATATATAGAAACCCTAGAATTAGTTGATAAAGTAGGTATTAAAAAAAAAAAGCCACCTGTTTTCCAAAATGGTTGTACCATTTTATACTCTACTGTTGAGAGTTCCAGTTACTCCACAGCCTTATGAACATTGTTTTCCCATCTATTTGTATTACCAGTTGCAGCCACTGTGGTTGTATTTTGACACAAAACAATTACAGTACTGCAGACTTCTAAGAGCTAATGACACCTGCAGTTACTTCTAAAATTCACTTAATGGTCTTAGCAAATACTAACTACCCTTCCTAGTTTTCACACGTTTATGGGCTATTACATTATATCCAATTGAGAATTACCCATTAAGTGGTGTGACTGGAATTATATGAATTATAAGTTTGGAGGTGTTAATGATTGTTTCAAGAAATCATTTTAGAGGCACATGTTGAAATATTGCTTCAAAACAATTGGGGATGGAGTGCCAGAAGCTGCCGTTTATAGACATTTTACCCAATTTAGCTGAAAAGGTCAGCCTGCCAGTTTCAGTGGACACTGGCAGGACACGAGACCCCTGGGTCAAAGGACTTTCTACTGCAAAGCCAATGGTCAGCTTTGTGTTCATTTGTTTCCCATCCCTCCTCCCCCATCCACATGGTGATGCAAAGGGTCCATCATGCAGGAGGTTGTATTACACAGCAGGACACTTAAGTGGAAGCAAGCCTGCTTTTTTTCTGGGGGATACGTTACATCCCTCAAGGTTTGCCAGGACACAAATACAACCAAGAGATGGCCCAGGTGAAGAGCAGAGAATCATACTCATGGCACACCCAAGAGCAGGCAGGGACACTCAGGATCCACAACTGATTGCATCACAATTCACTCTGCATGACATGTTCTTAGACAAACTAGAATTTTTACATGAATATGGCCCTGTGCCAGGCACTGATTAACCCAGGAGGTTAGAACCTCATAATAAAGGTTATTATCCATAAGGCTCAGTAGACGTAGCCAACCTGTAGTGCTGACCTCATTCTCTCCAGGTTCCCACATTTGAGTAAGCCAACGGGTGGGGGGAGCACTAGGTCTGCACCACCCTGATGTACTCTAAGTCCAGACTGTTAGTCATCACAGCTTGATCTACTTGATCCCTAGTGTTACTGTCAATAATCACAGGCAATAGATGGACCCAAAACCTGTCTGAAATGAAAGCATCTCATGACCCATTTTTCCCCACATACAGACGTTATTACCTCAAAAGGGCACAAGTCACTTTTGGGGGAGTACTGGTAATGGCCAAGGGCTGAACCTAGGGCTCTACAACACCAAGGTCTCAGGATAAACTAGCAAAGGAATAACCAGTGATGAGGGAGGAAACCTCTGTGGGACTATGAAGGACAGTTAAGAACAGGAAGATATCAATGGTTAAATGTCACTAATACAGGTCAAGTAAAATGAAGGCCAAGAACAGAACCATTGGACTCAGCAACTGTAATCCTGACAGTAACAGCTTCCTTAAAAGGGGGGGGAGGGAGCCACAACTGCAGAAGATTCAAGAAAATACAATGTGGTCAACTCGCAGCTTTGCTGCAAGGTTTAAGGTGGGTAAGAATTGCAGGAGCCACTAGCTGAGCTACGCATAAGGGAAGTGCTGTGTTCAAATGATATGTCCTACCACCCAATGACAAGGCAGAAAATGTGAACCCCTGCAGACGGCAGGGTGAAAGGAATGGGAATCAGCAGAGTGCAAGAAAGGATTGAAGAGGAGGAGGGCGCAGAACAGACTGGGTGGAAGAGTAAGCACTGGGTATTGGGCTGCATTAAATGCCCATCTATTAAGACAAGAAACCAGTTTCTATAGCCAAGTTCAGCTTCACAGTGCAGGTGCACAGTGGGGCATCTCACAGCTATAGGAAAGAGCACTTGTATTCAAAAACAAAAACCTGAAAGCCAATTGGCTCTTCCCATTAATCAGTCTACCACAGTGGTTCTCAGAGCAGGGTCCCTGGGCATCAGCATCACATTCAACTTCAGAAACTCCAGAGGTGGGGCCTGCAATGTTTCAACAAGCCTTCCAGATGGCTTAAAAACCATCAAAACTTTAAGCCATCTTAAAAAAGGATTTCCTTTTATTAGCTATCTCTGAACACCTCCAAATCACTACAGCTTCAAATAATCTCTACCCTTTCCCAGCTACACAGAGCAAGAGATAAAATCCAGAACAGAAAAGTTCATGTCACCGTCAATTCAGAGCCATGTCATTCGCCAAGCTATAAGATTGTTTTAAAAGAATGATTAGAAATAAAGTATCACAAATAGGCCTTTTTATTCGCCACCATTAAGTGTCTGAATTTAAACAGATTCTTGGACTGGGGGCTCATATCCATCAGCTCGTTCAACTTTAGCGCCTGTCTCGTCCCCAGTAGCTTTTCCAGAACTGCTACCTTCACCATGAAGCTCCATGAGTTTCCCCACTAAAAGAAGAACAAAATTCTGTTAGCTATGGTGTACCGTATCTTGAACAATGGTCCTTCAATACTGTGTAAGCATGACAGAAAAAAAAAAAGCTAGTATCTGGCCACTCAACCCCACCCCCGCAAATGTATCTGGCCACAATTTCCCACTTACATTCAAACTTGGGCTTCTTCAGCATTTTGACTTTTCTAACAAAGACATCATGAAGTGGATAAATAGACTGGCAAGCCTTTTCTATGTCTTTCCCAATGCTATCTGGGATCCTGCAAACCAGTAATAGTAGATTAGAGTAAATGTACACAGAAAACCCCCCTCATTCAATCCAGAAAGCTCCTCGTGTAAGATAGTCTACTACTGTCCCTTTACAGGCGAAGGTGAAGTGATATAACTGTACAGCTAGTTGCAAAGTTAGCATCTGAGCCTTCTGAGTCTACACCTTTTGCCTTTTCCATTACACCCTCTTAGTCAGCTGCATGGGAACATCAGAAAAATGTTACATTTTATCACTGGACATCATTTGGGACCGAAACATTTTGTCATCACTTATTCCCATGCATTACTGATTGTGGAGAGTTCTTCTATTTAACCTCACTGCCACGAGATAGTTATACCCAAACAAGGACAAAAACCAAATCAGATTTACTCAGCAATTAGCATGCTTTCATTTCAAGGGAGGTAGCTAGATGGTTTCACAGACAGAATTTAAACAGGTGTGATTCCATCTTAGATGTTTTCCCTCATCTGAGGGTTAATCAGATTCAGGGTTGTGTGGTGATAGAGAAAAAAAACTCTTACAATTTATTGACCACTTCTTTCAAGTCGTTTGTCTGCACCTCTCGGGTCATGATTTCCATCATTTTCTTCCGGATCTGGCGGACCTGTTGATGCTGAGCATAAGAGGTCTTCCGAATCTGATTGTTGCGTTTTTTAGTAAAACCAACACAGAATAAACGAAGCAAATACCCATCGGTAGTCTTGACATCAACATGAGCTTCGATCATGGTCTAGTGAGAAAAAAAAAAGATACTGTCAGTTATGCCAGGGCTTTTTTTTTTAATCCTCATCCAAGGATTTTTCTTTTCTTTTTTTTTTTTTGACCAATTTGAGGGAGAGGGAGACAGACAGACATCTCATCTGTACGTGACCTGACCAGGAATCGAACCTGCACTTAGGCATGTGCCCTGTCTGGGAATCGAACCTGCAACCTTTTGGTGTACAGAAGCAACCAACTGAGTCACCCAGCCAGAGCAGATATAATAGGTTTTAATACTATTAATTTTTATCTCTCAAATTCTAATATAAAAAAGGGAAAGGTCAAGTATTCATCATGCATGAAGTATAATATAAATTACATTATCAAATTTCCAGAATTAACTTCCTTGAAATGAACTTACCAAATTCTTACTATCCTTCACATCCAATTAAAGAAGTCCTCTCAACAATCCTCCCTCCTCCCCTCTATCCCCACCATCACTGGCAATAGTGTCCACCCCCCAACTTTTTACAAATATGTGAAACCCTTTAACATTCTTCCCCTCAATCAGCGGTAACTCTGCAACACAAGAAAATAGGTTCTATGAGACTACAATATGGACGTCCACACTTATTCCATCTCAATAAAAAGTGTTCTGCATAGGTGAAATGTTATCACTGAATACATATGCTTTTAAGTGTCATTTATGTTCCAACTAAGGCCATGCTGGCAAATATTCAATTTCACAGCCAAAACACACAAAAAACTATCTTAGGTAGCAATAAAAACTGAATTTCCTCCTCTGCATTTTGTAAGTTTTAGACCTTGGTTCAAAAAATGGATATAATTGAGCCCTGGCTGGCGTAGCTCAGTGGATTGAGCGTGGGCTGGGAACCAAAGTGTCCCAGGTTCGATTCCCAGCCAGGGTACATTCCTGGGTTGCAGGCCATAACCCCCAGCAACCGCACATTGATGTTTCTCTCTCTCTCTCTCTCTCTCTCTCTCTCTCTCCCTCTCCCTCCATCCCTTCCCTCCCTAAAAATAAATAAATAAAAAAAATCTTTAAAAAAAAAGGATATAATTGTAGCAAAAGGACCTTAAAATATTCCCAGAAATGCAACCACGGAACCTTGGGGGAATGTCATAAATAAACAAAATTACAAAAGCAGTTATGTATCATCTGGAACCAAACATTTTGTCATCATTCACTCCCACATACAAAGTATCGTAAGACTGGATGGTTAGCCAGACACATCTGAACCAACACAGTTATTTCCTACATCACACTAACGTTTATTAGATGCTTTCTGGGTCAAACTCTGTGCTAAACACGGATTTCATCCAAACTCCATAAGAGGACACTCTTACCCACATTTTAAAGATAAAGAAATCATGGCTTAGCAAGCTTTAAGTTTTTTGCCAAAAAGAATACAATTGGGAAGTGGAGCCAAGACTTCCGCTCTGCTACTCTGTGTTCTGTGTGTTATTCTATATTGCCAGAGGTAATTAAGACCAGCCCAAACCACCTGTCCAGTTTAAAATCCATTAGCAAAAAAATAAAGAATAAAGTCCATCAGCTTTTGAGGTCCAAAGAGTCCGAAGCGAAATTACAAACCTGAATCTAGATGTTCCTCAATCAGCCACTGATCTATGCAACAAAAAAACTAAAATGGTGATAAATTTTGAACTCAATGTAAATAAGCAGAAGGATCATGGTTTGCTTCCTGCTGTTGCTCAAGTTCAATGGTCAACTCCAGAGTAAGCACTCAATAGTTATCAAGACAACATCAAGGTTTTAAAATTATTACTTCAACCTGTTATGACATGTCCCTTGCTGACATCACACCCTGACGTGACATCACACTTCAGCCACGCATGCCATAGCACCGCGACGCTAAGTGTCGTTCTCACCTGCCATTTTTTGACCATGGAGCACATTTTGTCCCGGGTAAGATCCATGCCATGGAAATTAGTCAGGCAGTTTTTGCCCTGGACATCCTCAGTAATTAGCTTGAATTTTCTAAATGCAACTTCATCATTCTGCAGGTCAGCCAGGCTCACTTCAAATACACGGCCCTTCAGACCATCCGATGCGATTTCTATAAAACAAGAATCAGTTGTCTTATTAACATCAGGAGCCACTCGAGCAAACTCAAGCCAACGAAGGTAACTGTTCATGCATAAAGTTGAGTTAGAATGTTCAAGTGCCACCTTGCTTCGACCAGTGTCCCCAAAACAAGCACCGCAGGGGCCAAAGCTGCAGCCAAGAGCTGACATTTCCTTTCTCCCGCCACAGGACCAACAGCAGACCAAGGTACAAACGTCTCAATTTTAAAAATATACAAACCAAGAATAAGATACTCACTGGTTCCTTGAGTTCTTGTGACGAGCGTTTTCCCAATGTTTCTTATGTTGAACATAGCTGGTGCTTTCACATCATACCAATCTTTCTTAGAAAATGGATCAACCCTGGATTAAAACAGAAAAACCTTCCGTTTTATTGCAGATCACATAATCCGCCTTGTTTACTTACCTCATTCTAATGACTTCACGAGACTAACCGGCAAGCGGACCTCTCACGGGCACGTACGTGGGGATCGAGCTCTTCCCACACTGTGTCCGTCTCACAGCCGAGCCACAAACGGGCGCACTCCCCACCACGCAGGCAGCACTGCCTCCCGGTAACATGCAGGTCTCTTGAACTTTCCTGGCACAGGACGGCACGTCCTGGAGGCCCAGGCTCTTTCCCAGGGCTTCTTCACACGAGCCTACCTGGAGCTCCCCCGGTTCCACCCGGCCCATGCAGAGGAGCGGTGCGGGGTGCCGGGTGGACAAGAGCGCCTTTCTCCACTACAGCTTTGGGGCTTCCATCGTTCGTGGCATTTAAAAAGCGCCCGTGAGCCCACCATACGCAACACGCCACCGCCTACTCGCGGCAGCAATCGAGCTCAAAGCGGTGCGCACAGGCCCAGAAGGCCAAGGGGAAGACAGCCGGCCCGCGGCGACGGAGCACCCATATCTGGCAGAGCGCAGTTCAGAATTTACCAACCCGGCACGGCCAGCTCAATCCGACTGGCATCCTCGCCATCCGGCCCACACCAAGACCCATGGGCCTCCCGCCGATCCTAACAGGACCCGGAAAAGCGGAGAGCCAGGAGAGTCGCCACTTACACTTTCTTCTTTGCTCCCTTTTTGCCACCTTTCGTCAGGCGCTTGTTCTTACCCACCGCCATGGTGCTGCTCGGGGAGCCAAAAGGGCGGAAATAGAACTCGCGCGAGAACTTACGCGTACGGGGCGGAGCGCGCCATCGACGTAACCTTTGACCCGCGTTGCTCCTTCCTCAAAAATATCGCGACAACAGGAAGGCACGCCCCCACCTGCAGCGGCGACAGCGCCCTCGCGTGTGGGGAGTCGCGTCGCTGAGATACAGCGCAATCTCCACCCGCGCGGGCGCTGCGTGCGTGAGTGCAGGTTTCGGATTAACTGTGGTTTCCGTGGCTCTGAGACGCGGAAGGAAGTTTCCGTGGAAGGAGATGCCTACTCAAACGTATTTCAAAGCTGAAGTCGCCACCTCACCTGGAAACCTATTTCTTCCCCACGATTTGGAATAAGCAGATCCAGGTTCAAAAGCTACTGTCAACAATATTAAGCCTTGGGACGTGTTTATGCTTCAGTGTCTCCCTGCTTAAAGGGGCGGTGGTAGTATAACCTACCTCCTAAGATTGTTAGTAAGATTAAAGGAATATGACATCGGAGGTGCTGGTACTGTTCTGCTTGTTGATGTGGGTGCTGGTTAGTGGGGTATGTTAGCTTCGTCAACATCCATCAAGCCGTGCACTGATTTGTGTACTCTTCTACATGTTTCTCGTACATTCATATATAGTTGGTTTTTTTTTAAGCGAACTCTGCGCATTGTTTCCCTGAGGGAGTATGGGTCCAGTGTTCCCAGATATTTTGATTTTTTTTTTTCAAGAAAAGCTGGAAATTATTTTGTATGAGATCAAATTGTTCAATTTTCGCAACTCATCCAAAAAAATTTTTACTTGTAGGGGTTTAACAAAATACATCCTGGCTGGATGTGGCCCACTAGCTTCTGGAAAGCCGGCCCAGGCAGGCTTGGACCGCAGCCAGGGAAATGCCGAGTTCCTCCTCTGACTTCCCCTGTGCCAGAAACCCTGAGACCGAGCCGCGCGCCCCCTCCTGTGATCCTAGTCCTTCCAGCCTCCGTCCCCTATCTCCCACCACCCCCACCTTCTACAACAATCTTCCTAGATCTCCAGTCCTGTCCTAAAATCTTTCAGTAATTCCAATAATCTCAGTTGCTTATAGGATAGTGTCGAGGTCCTCATTTTACAACAATGAATTTTCTTAATCCTCTGGAACTGTACACCTGAAGTGGTTAAGATGGTACATTTTCTGTTAGGTGGTTTGTTTTTTTTTTATACCACAACTAAAAAGAAATCAAAGTCCTTAGCCAAGTCTACAAAAACCCTTATCAAGCCCCAATCACTGACTCTCTTTTCACCCTCACCACATCTTAGCCTTCACCAGGTACCCCAACTGCAGTCACCTAGAACTGTTTCAGATTCTCTGAACAAAACGGTTTTCTCTTGCCTTCATTCCTTTTCCCTCAGCAGCAGGCAGATTCTGGTGCATTTCAAGACAGCTCAGCTTTATTTCTTCTTTCAGTAAGAGACTGATTCTCCCAAACAGCCTTCCAGGACACCTAGCACTGCTTACCTTCTTAGTACCTATTGATTAAACGTGTCTGTTGTTCACTGTGAGTGGAAGGGCACACAGGGCAGTCTTCCTGTTCGTGCGCCATCTCTGAGCACATAGTAGGTCCTCAGAATATTTGTTGGATGAACAAATAAGAGGTAGATGATATCAGTGCTGGTCCCAGTTTTTGAGCTTTATGGATGGATCCAGATTTTCAAAATAATTAAGGGAACCAATAGGACTACAATTTTTTAATTTAACCACATTATAAAACAAAATACAACTGCCATTTACTATCAGCATCATTTCCTTTTTAAATTATTTTGACCCCCAAAATAAAAATATAGAACATATCCTCTAAAAGGTCAACACTTTTTTTTAAAGATTTTATTTATTTATTTTTAGAGAGGAAAGGGAGAGAGAGAAACATTAATGTGCGGTTGCTGGGGGTCATGGCCTGCAACCTAGGCATGTGCCCTGGTTGGGAATCGAACCTGCGATGCCTGGTTCGCAGCCTGCGCTCAATCCACCGAGCTACGCCAGCCAGGGCAATGCTTTTATCTTTTATTTTTCTGTGAATGCTGCAAAAGGTCAATCCTTTTAAATAAATCAGCTTTGTGAAAAACCCTATAGACATTATTTTTCTTGTCTAATTGCAGTCTGGTGAAAACTAGTGACCAGTAGAAATCAGTGAATTATTTCAAATATAATATTGAGTCCAGTAAACTCTATTCTGTACTTACAGTAACCTTGACTAAGTTTACTTTACAGGTGACAGTTCACTATTGAAAACTTTCCCAATGGAAAATGCTCTAGACTCCAAGGTTACCTACCCCAGAATAAAAACCAAACTTGCCTTCTTCCTGGTCTGATCCCTCTTTCTGCCGCAGAGTGGGGATTAAGGCAGTCAGCTCCACTTAGTTTATTCTAGCAACACCAGCACGTAAGGAATTTGTCAGAGGTATGTATTGCAATTCTCAGCTTTGTTTTGTAATAAAAGCTTTGAAAAATATAAGTCCGTGACACTGTTATATTAAATGGAGCAGTCATCGGTTTAAATTATATTGAAAAAAAAGACAGCATGGGGGTATAAAATCACTTTATTGGGTCTCAACCATCTGAGAATTTAAAAATTAAGATAGAATGCCATAGTGTAGAAAAACATCAGAATATATCAAACCTAGTAAGGTGTCAGTATTTCATTAATTTTCTTTTTCATCTGTGACTCGTCTATTACATCCATCCAATGTTTTTGGAATTTTTATTATTGTGGGTTTTTTTATTTCTAAAAGTTCCATTTAGTTTTTTTCCCACTTACGTTACTGTCATTTCTTATTCTTTGCAGGCATACTCAATATAGATTTAAACCCAGTAAGCATAATTGTTTTACAGCCACTGTATGATAGTTCCAGTATCTGAAGTCTTTGCCAGACTGTGTCTATTGTCTATTTTTGTGCCGGTTCTCCCGCATGAAAGATTAGTTTCCTTGA